TGGGCGAATAGAGGGTGGAACTCAGAACCAGGAGAAAAACATTCCTTTGATTAAAGCCTGCAGAGTGCCTGAGCGGGCAGTTCAGGGAGGTGCGTCAGTGTGGGAGGAGCCACTGAGAAGGTTCACGCAGGGGTGGGAGGGACGATGCTCGTCAGGTGTGTGCTGTCCTTACAGACGGCCAGGGTCCCCTGCACCACGGCGTCTGCAGCACATGGCTCAGCAACCTGAAGCCCCAAGACCCGGTGCCCTGCTTTGTGCGAAGGTAAGCACCCCCTCCACTGTGTCCATCATGGGACCACTGGCCCCGGGGAGTACTGGTTTGAAAGAGAGGAATCTGGGGTTTAGATGCCACTCTGGGCCCCTTGGCCCGTAAAGAAGGCACTAGGGTCACACTGGGCCTCTCCATTCTAACCCCCAGTGGTAGAGCATGGCCAAGTCTCTAGCAGGGACAGAGGTGGCAGCGATGTTGGGGCCCAGAGCACAATGAGGCTCAGCCTTTCTCAGAGGGACCCCAGGGCAAGGTGATGGTGCGCCTGGACAGGAGACATGAAGCAGCCCGCAGGACTTGGGAAATCAACTTTTAGCTCGTTGTCTTTTCTACCCCGCAACACTACCGCCCCTGGCCACACCCCCAGCTCCCCAGCCCCTGTCCTGCGTGTGCATCCGACCCAGGGTGTCTGAGGACGGGGCCTCTTTCCTCCTGTCCCCTTCAGTGCCAGCGGCTTCCAGCTCCCCGAGGACCCCTCCCACCCTTGCATCCTCATCGGGCCTGGCACGGGCATCGCCCCCTTCCGCAGCTTCTGGCAGCAGCGGCTTCATGATGCCGAGCACAAAGGTACAGCTGGAGGGTTTTTGGGGGTGCGGAGGGGGTACCAGGTGGTGCCCAGCACCTGCCTGGGAGTAGAACTGAAGCTGTAGCCACCCCGCAGATGTTTCCTGGCCCCTCTCCCAAGTTTGCCTCAGCCTGTATGGACAAAGGATGTGAATGCCCTGGGCCTCAGCTTCCTCATCTGTAAAGTGGGGACAGTGCTAGATAGAACGTGGGGATGAAATGGAATTCTAGTTGGGTGCGCAGCTCGACAGGCCTTGAAGCATGGCCCAGCCGCCCTCTGGTGGCCATCCTGGTAACTGCAGCCTACTGGGTCTTGCAGGTCTCCAGAGTGGCCGCATGACCCTCGTGTTCGGGTGCCGCCGCCCAGATGAGGACCACCTCTACCGGGAAGAGATGTTGGAGATGACCCGGAAGGGGGTGCTGCATGAGGTGCACACAGCCTATTCTCGCCTGCCTGACCAGCCCAAGGTAAATGCTGCAGCTGCCCGCGCAGTGGGTGGAGCATTAAAAGCACAGACTATGGTGGGTGCCTGGCTCCCCACAAGCCCCTCACTTCTCTGAGCCTTCACCTCCTCAGCTCTAAAATGGAGGCGATTATACAGTCACCAGAGTGGCGTGTGAAGCAATTATGTTCACTCTTCCAGGAGAAGAGACGGGCCCTGAGACGTTCAGGGCTAAGTCAGAGTCACATGTGAGCCAATCCCCAGTGCCCAGCCTGCTGAAGGTCCTCGGCCGGCATGTACAGCTATCGGGGGGGTGGGGGGGGAGGTGGTCCAGGTCAGCTTTGCGCTCCAGCACAGCATGGCTGGGGGGCAGCCGCTGCTCCCAGCACGGCCCGCGGACCGGCTCTGCTGTGCTGGGTAGTACTTTGCCCCAGGAGCCTGGGGGGTTGGAAAAGACTGTTGGCTCAGCCTTTGTGAACTGATCCCATTGGGCTCCTCCCAGACCTGGCACTCCGTGCCCAGTGCCAGGGTCACTGGGCATCTTGTGTAGAGAAAGAGGAGAGAGTCCCCCGTTGACTCCAGGACTTCTGTGTAACTGGGGAACCCTGCTCAGAATTACACGGGGGATCTCGAGGACAGAGATTCCCTTTTGTGGGGTGTAGGCAGGTGGGCCTCAGAGCTCTGGGCAGGGTAAGTGGCTTGATGGATGCCTCTTTGAAGCACGGTGAATTCAGAGCAGATCAGGGAGCCCCACTAGAGAGTCAGCTCCTCAAGGGCATGGCTGTGGCCAGTATTCACCTCTCCAGCCCCAGCCTGGGCCTGGGCCGGGCAGGGCACCCGTGCACCTCCTCATCTCAAGCCTGGTCCCCGTGCAAGGCCCTGGCCAGGAGGGTGCTCACCCCGCCACCCCTCCCACCTCCTATTCATCTCCCCGTGGCCGGCAGGCCTGACCGCAGCCTTCGCCCCCAGCACTGGGGGCCTGGACCCACCGTCTTCTCTGGCTTCAGGTCTACGTTCAAGACATCCTGCGGCAACAGCTGGCGGACGAGGTGCTGCACGTGCTCCACGAGGACCAGGGCCACCTCTACATCTGCGGGGACGTGCGCGCAGCCCGGGATGTGGCCCGCACCCTGAAGCAGCTGGTGGCCACCGCGCTGAGCCTAACTGAGGAGCAGGTGGAGGACTATTTCTTCCAGCTTAAGGTAGGGCCGCTGGCGTGTGGGCTCGGGATGCAGGCCAAGGACATGGGCCAGGGAGCCAGGGCCAGGGGGGTCAGGTTCACAACAGTCTGGGCTCAAAGGAATCCTAGAGGTGGCGGGAGGTCAGAGCTGGTCGGGCTGTTAGAAGGCCTAACTGTACATCCTGGTCTGGCTGCTCACTTAAACAAAGGCAAACATGTTGATTTTTCTGCAAGACTCTCAGAGCCCCTGACAGGCTGCTGTGCGTCATGGCGCTTCAAGACTGGGAGAAAGTACACGGCATTTCCCAACCATATTTATCTCAGAGCCCACATTTCCTGGAGCCCCTTGTGAGACAAGCACTGGACAGGCTTTAGCGTCCATCAGAAAGCTTGGAGAGATGCATTGGTGGTCCACGCCAGAGCGGGTGTTCATGAGGGTTACATAGTCTAAGTGAGATTCGAGTATAATCTAAGCATGACAGCTGGGAAGGCAAATGGCTCATGAGTGTAGGTGTGATGGGGAAGCAGGGGGACCCTTGGGGCTTGGCCCAGCTTGGACCTGATGAGTGAGAGGTGGCTGCACCAACAGAGCTGACACCTTGGTCTCTGTTTTCCCTTAAAGAGCCAGAAGCGCTATCATGAAGATGTCTTTGGTGCTGTATTTCCCTATGAGGTGAAAAAGGATGGGGCAGCAGGGCTGCCCAGCAATACCAGAGCTCCAAGCGCCCACAGGAGAAGTTAAAGCTGCCACTGTAGAATTTAAGGATGGCACCAACTCTCGATTTTCTGAGGTCACAGGACTGGGGATATTGGAGGGAGATTATATCCCCAAGCCTCACATCTTATTTCCCCATATCCTTCCCTCTCAAATGCTTTACTTGACCTGCTACCCAGTAGCAGCCTGGACTGAGTGAGCCCCTTGCTGGGGTGATGGAGAGATGGGCCTCCCCGGTCCCTTGGAGACTAGATCTGCAGTGCCAGGCCTGGCCAGTGGGTGAGAAGGATGGAACTTCCTTGATTGCACCACTTGGGTGACCACCAGGAGGCGCTGTCACGTCACTCTGTATTTGGCGGCCTGTGTACAGTTATTTATGCCTCTGTATGTAAAAAAAACAAACCCCAGTCTGCCTCTTGAGCCTTCCTTGTATGACTCCTTGATGGAGATATTTATACGAAATGCATTTTATTTTAACCACGTTGTATGTGCGTGTGGGTGTTTTGGAGGGAAAGCAGCCTTAAGCTGTATAGAGTTGGGGACTGAGGGGTGCCACAGCCTGGACAAAACTCCCCCGCAAAGGGACATATCAGCGTGGCCCCATTGCTCCTCTGAAATGCCCACCGGGTATGGGGACAGCACACGGAGTTCTGTGCACATCTGAAGACCCGTGATGGGGGTAAGGAAGCACAGCCCGGCCTGCGGGCATGAGCTGCATCTCAGGAGGCGTCTCACATGGGGTGTGGCAGGGGTGCGAGGCTGCCAGGTCTTTAGCGAAGGCCTAGACCACAGCCCGGTCTTACGCAGTCACCGCCTTTTGCTCTGGGGCTGCCTGTTTCGTGAAAGTTTGGCCAGTAATGATTTGGGCCCTGGGTGACAGCACAGGTGAGGCTGGGCTGCGTGTCAAGGACTTGGCAGTGAGGGAAGGACACACATCTTTCACGGGGAAGGCTTCTCAAGGGACTGAGCCTGGTGAGAGCAAGGAAAGAACTCAGCCAGGGGCTAAGCGAGGGTTTGGCAAAATCTGGCTCCCGGCTTGGGTTGGGCCTCTGTCTCACTGACTCCCCGGCCCACTTCTCCCCTCCACCACTCCTGCTCGGGTCCGGTAGTTGGGGAGAAAGGGGCATGCGACCTCAGCGTCCCAGCGACGCATCTGCACGACAGTCCCCTAGACCAGTGCCTCTCCCACTCCAGTGTGCAGCAGACCACCTGGGATCTTGTCACGTCGCAGGCGCTGAGGAGGTCCAAGGCAGGGCCGGGGATTCACGCCCCCAGGTGCTGCTGGTACTGCTGGTCTGAGGATGCTCTGAGCCCCACCCTGGTTCCCGAGGACAGGATTCTTGGAGCTAGCAGGATGCGTTGGCATCATGGGGACACAGAGCTGGTCCCCATGCCCTGGCTCAGTGACTGGCAGAACCCCGCACGCTGAATCTCTTTCTCCCACACACACCCTGACCCCTGACACCAGGGGACCCACAGCAGAAGCACACAAACAGGCCTCTCTTCCAAGTCGGCTTCTCGGGAGCCCAGCCCAGCCCTTGGCCCATCTCAGAAGCATGGGGCCATTTCCTGGGTTCACCTCCATCACCAAGCTTCCTGCGTCAGCGATGCCTGTCCAAGAGGCCTGAGCTTTCTCCCACACCCTTGTGGGGTTTGTGGAGGACCCGCTGGCAGCAGGCCCGGAGGTCAGGAACCACCCGCTGATCCAAGTGAGCCCGTGCTCTCTCCCCCCTCTTCCCTCAGCCTGGACCTCCCCGATTCCAGAGACTCCAGAAGGTTTCCAAACTCAGTTACCAAACCACGGCCATCCCAGGCACACGTGCTGACAAGCATTGTTCTTTCTTTCTTTATTCGAAGGACACTGGGAAAAGGGAGAGCCCCCTGCTGAGAAGGCTCCTGTCTGTTGGTGGGGACCAGTGGGGTGTCATCAGGGTAGCTTTCCGGGAGGAGGAGAGGTTAAAGATTGGAGGAAGGGGAGGGGCCGAGGATACAGCCTCCTACGTGAGTGACAGCTAGCGGCATGGGACGAGGTGGACTTGGCCGGAAGCAGAGCCAGCCAAGGACGTGGTCTCTCCAGCAAAGCTCAGGATCCGGGGCAGGTGGGGGTGATGAGCAGAGCCAGACAGCAGCCCAGGGCAGGGCTGGCCTATGTCTGCACGTGGGTCAGCTGGATGTCGCCCCCCACCTCCAGGCTGTTGATGGCGGGCAGGTTCTTCAGGCGGTGGTAGTATTCACACAGGTGCTGGCCATCCACAGCCAACTTGAGGCAGGAGCCTTCACACATGATCCACACCTGGACGAGAGGCCCCGGCATCTGTACCCCGCCCGGACTGTCCTCAAAGCCAAAGGCAGCCTCACGTCTGCCTCCCTCCTTCCCACCTTCCCCAAACGTTAGTTAAGCAAGACCCACACCTGCATTCGAGCCACACCGAAGGATTCACTCTTCCCCGAACACGCCTCATGCTCTCCTTCCCTGTGCTTTTACATATTCTGTTCCTCCCCCCAGAATACCCGTCCCCCTGGGCTCCCCGCTCTGCACACCTTGTCCGCGTGGATCACTGCTACTCCCCCTTCAGGACTCACCCTCCTGCAGCCAGCCTTCCCGGCCTTTCCCCAACTCCTGAGCCCCTCCTAGCTGAGTCAGGCGCCGCCCTCAGGCTGTGTCCCGCACCCCTATCCTTACCCTCTGGCTGGACCCTGAGCCTCTAGGGACACAAATGCTGGCCTGTGTCATCCATGCCCCTAGGACCCGGCACACAGGAGCGCTGGGCGTCTGCACCCCTGCTGCGGCAGCCTCCTAACTTGTCTCTTCCACCCCGACATTCTCCCAGAGGCGGTGGCAGCACAGCTGTTAAAATACCATCGTCCCCATCACATAGCTAACAGCAGCAGCAGAGTCACGGCGCACCGGGCAATGTCCTAAGCGTGTCACAGACTCGATTTCATTTCCTTCTTCCATCTCTGTGAGATCAATGTTACTAGCAGTCCCATATTTTAGATAAGGGGACGGAGGCACAGAGCTGTTAAGACACTTGCTCAAGGTCACACAGCTATCAAAGTATCTTGCTCTCTGGCTTGAAACACACCAACACCCTGGGCTAAAATCCACAATCCATGACCCACAAGGCCCTACATCGGTCATTTTCAACCCTGGGTGAGGAGTATTAGGGCGTATTTAAAAATATGGGTGTCCAGGCTCACCCTCTCGTGGGCCTGGGGTGGGACCAGGCATTGCTTTTTCTTTTTCAAGTTCTCAGGTGATTTGAGTACGTAGTCAGGGCCGAGAACCCAGCTCTGTGTCGTCCGGGCCGCCAGCAGTGCCACCCGCCACCTCCCCATCCTCGCTCTCCCAGAAGCCCCGGGGCCTCCTGCTTCCTAGACAGGCCACGACCATGACCCTCTGCCTCGGCGATAATATCAGCTCCCTCTGCTGCCCCTTAGATTTTTTGCAAGGTGGGCTCCTCCTACCACTGAGGTCCCGCCTGCGCTGGGGCCTCCTCCAAGGTCTGCCCCCACCTAAGGAAGCATGGCCCCTGCCCAGGGCTCACTTATTTCTTATTCTAGTTTGCCCTCCACGTAGTACCCATTGCTGTTCTGCAGCGATCTGTCCGTACATTTGTTTCCTTGTTCCTCCCCGACCTTGATTGTAAACTCCATGGGGGCAGGACCTGGACTGTTTCCTCATTGCCCCCCAGTACCTGGGGTACTTGCTGCTCAAAGTGGGCCTGGATGAAATAGCTGATAAATGACTGTTGAATGAATGAGTGAGTGAGTGAGTGAATGGATGACACCTCATTCTTGAGTTCGACTTGGCACTGATTGGCTGTGTGACCTTAGCAAGTAACCTGCACGTGTGAGTTAGTCTCATCTGTAACAGCAGGTGGTACCTGCCACCTGCCTTATGTGGGACAGTGACAGTAAAATGATAGTAGCAGTAACTTGGGGAACACTTTCCCCTCTTCTGGGCCCTGTCCTCACCCCAGAGGCGTCAGCTCCTGTCTCGATCAAGGTGCCCCCAGATGACCTCCACCCGCTACTCCACTGCCCCTCGAGAGCCCCTCCCAGCTCGGGGCTGCAGCATCTCACCGAGAAGCTCTGGCCTCGGAAGAAGGGCATCTGTCGGGGCAGGCTTCGCTCCTCACACCCCCAGCAGCTGTTGATTTGTGTGTTGCGGACCACGGCATTCTCATCGAAGCGGGGGTTCAGGTGGAAGGCGATGTCTCTCCCGGAACACAGGTTGATGTAGAACCTGGGGATGGGCCGCTCCCATGGACTCCCTGCCCCGAGCTGGGGGAATGGCCCGAATGACCTTGGGGTGTCTCTTCTCCCCAGGAACCCTGTCTTACCTCTGAGCACTGGGCAGGATGGTACCCGACACCATGATGCTCTTGGAGGGGTACAGCCCACCGGGGATAGAGGTGAAGAAAGGTATCGGCTGTGGGGAGGAGGGGGCAGGTCAGACGGCAGCGGCCAGAGCAGCCGCCACTGCAAGAGAAACTTCATGACAACTTCTGTGCATTTGGACTGTCAGTCGACAACTTAACTGTGCTGTATCTTCAAGAAAGAACTCCATGGCATCTTTACTTGGCTCAGTAAATGGCAAAGGAAAACTTTCCAGCATTCCTCAAATTAACGGGCATTTACTATCATGAAAAGAGCTTTGGCTGGACACAAAGGATGCTTGGGCTGAGAAGGGAAGACCGTGTAATATGCTCATGGTGAAGGGACGATTTTCAAGGTGAAAGCCCCTTTCCTAAGTCTTCTAAGTTACCTGGAAGTTTCCAGAACTTCAGTTTACTAAGGGACTGCTTTTCATTTTGTAAGCTGCCCTCCCCTCTTCCCCTACCCCAACCCTGCACAACACAAACCAGAACTCCACCCCTCCCAGAGAAACCACTTACATAGGTTGGGTTGGGATATGCCATGGGTGGGATCATGGGATTCTGCTGAAAAGAGATCGGGAAATTCAGTACAGGAGTGTGCGCACACGCGCGCGCACACACACACACGCCCTTGCACGTTCTAGAGGCGATGCTCCAATGGGAGACTGAGGTCGTGAGGCTTCAGGCGTTGGATTCTCCCAGTCACCTTCCTCCCCATGTCAGCCTTGGCAGGACTCCTGCTGTGTTCCTGGATCCCATCATGGTCACCTGCCCCTCAACCCCTCCAAGGGCAGCCCCACTGACTCCAGGCCCCCCGTGTGCTTTGCACTGGCACAGGAGGAGGAGAAGCAGCCTCAGCCTGTGATCAGCAGTGACATCCTGGGGGCTTGTCCTCAGGATGGAGGGTCTCATATCCAGATACTGGGACCACTGCACTCCCCTCTCAGGGACAGAAGGACCAGTTTTCCTGTTGGTCCCTAGGGTCCTATTTCTTGGGTCGTTGGGTAAATCCAGCCTGATCCAGAATCTCTACTGTCCCAAGGAGAGTTTTACGTGCGTTTCTCCTAAGCAGAGGGCCCAGCCCCAAATGTCCCCATCTTCCTTGCTAAACTGCTTTCTTCCTGACTCTGGGCCTAGAGAATTCACTCCTTGGGAAAGGGGCACGTGGTGGGGCTGTGAGCTGACCAGAGCGTTCAGACTTACAGGGAACATCTGTCCAGGGGTGCTCTGCACCGTGTGGATGATGGTCTGAGTCTGGAAGAAAGAAGCCCCATTATAACCGGCTCTCACCGGTGTGAAGACTGCCACCTGCCACCAGAGGGCACCACTTAACACACTCCTCTTAGGTGAGGTCATCTTGAGCTAGTAACCAGCCCCATCAGCCTGACCAGACGCCCCAAAATTGGCAGGTAGAGGTGTTTCTTCTCTGGAGAAGAAACATGGCTGCATTTGTGGCCTGTGGCCTGCATCTTTCTCAGGGGAATCTCTCTAGCACAGCCTCGCTTTGCAGAAGGAAGAAGTGAACGTGGGGCCTTGGTGTCCTGTGGCTGCCCACAGAGTGGCAGGGCCTTGAGCAAACCAGCGGCCACTGGGGCTCCTTCCCGATTCATCAGGGCCAGCCACCCCTCCCCGCACCCCGAACTCCCACCGTCACCCCAGCCGGGCAGATGGCCCAAGGGTCTGGCCTTGGCGGCCCTTCCCTCCAATGGGAGAGGCTCCATGCTTGACTCCGCCTCCTCCTTTTAACCCACAGAAAAAGCCGAAGTGAAGAGATTCCGAAGAGAGAGCAAGACACTTACAATGGGAGCCGAGCCGGCCGGCCAGATCCTTGGAGGCTGAAGGGGATGAGAAACCACAGTGGTGGTTAACACTGGTGCCACACGAGGGTAACACGGCGGCAGAAGCTCTGGTAAGAAATGCCTCCCCACACGCGGCCTCCCTCCTGAGCCTTCTGGGTGCCCAGATTCTCACCCAGCATCCCGGGTACACTGTGGTTATGCAGGGGGGTTGGGGAGGGGGAACATTCCCATTGGCTCCTTCAGAAGGAGAGGAGGGTGTGTCTGATGCAGACCATTTAGCTCCCGGAGGCCAAGCCATTACTCCCGGTGCCACATTTCACCCATAAGGTGAAAACTTACATTGGCCGAAGGCCTGCTGTGTGCCAGGCTCTGGCTTCAAGACTTTACAATGAGGGAGGCATCCTTGCCTCCTATTTTGCCGGTGAGGCAACTAGTCTCAGAAAGGTTAGGCAACTTGCCCGAGCTCACCCAGGTAACAAGAGAGAAAATCCAGATGGTACCCAGTTCTGCTGATTGTATCCACCACACCCTGTCCTCCCCAGGCCAGGGCCAAAGTCGGGCTGCCCTGCAAAGGCTGCCTGCGGCCCCACCAGTCCTGCGTCCTCATGGCAGAAGGCAGGTGCCCCAGCTGCGCCGTGCTGGGCCCGGGGAGGCTGGGTAGAGAGACGGCCTTCCTCCCAGTCCCCGCTGCTCAAGTGGCCAAAGAAAGGGCCAGGCCTGCTCCCCTTCCTGTCCGGGCCCCAGCCTTCACCCGGCAGACTGTTCCTCTCGCAAACCTATTCCACATTCACTAAGCGAGTCCCTACTGCATGCCGGGCACTGTGCAAAATGCTAGGGATACACAAATGAACCAGCTACAATCCCAGCCCACAGAGGGCCTGGTGGGTTAGGGAAGGAGGGAGGAGAGGGGTGAGGAGACACACACAGACACAATGATAGCAGGACGTGGCGACTGGAATAGCACAGAGATATCCAAAGTCTGTGGTGACTCAGGAGGGCATCCAGCGACCTGCTCCGGGCACGGTGCTCCAGAGGAGTGACACTTACGGAGAGCTGTGAAGGGCCATTTGGGAGTGGCTGGATGTGGGTGGCAAAGGGTGCTTTCAGCACTGGGACAGCATGTGCAGAAAGCACGGTGGCCTGAGAGAGCCCCAAGTGAGCAGTGGAGGCTGCGTGAGCTTCCTGGGTGAGGGATGAAGCTGGGAGGGAGGCTGGGGCAAGATTGGGGAGGATTCTGCAGGTCCTGCTATCTGGACTTTATCTAGAGGGACTTGGGGCCCTTAGGACTTTAAAGCAAGGGGAGGACGTGATCAGATTTGTGCATAGGAAGGTCACTGTGGTGGGTGAGTGGGGCGTGGGGAACCAGGCCGTGGTCGGAGTGTTGAGGGGGCAGATGGCCTGGACCAAGGCAGTGGCTTTGGGAAGAGAGGTACTGGTGCCCTGGAGAGATAAGGAGAGAAAGGAAGAGCCAAGGACAGCTCCCAGGTCCCCAGCTCTGGGCCCGGGGCTGTGGATGGAGGCCGGGAACCTTTGGGCATGACAGGCCCTGGAGACCCTGGCTGGCGTGCTGGCTGGCCCAGCGTCTCGAGTGCTCTGTCCTTCCTGCTGGCAGCGCAGCCTCCCCAGGCCTCCATTGAACTCACTTTCGGTTTGCGCCCCTTGGGCTTGGGTGGGGAACAGGCAGCCTGGGAGAACCGCACCGTGGAGAAGGCGGGCGGGATGAGAGCTGCGCCGGTGTTCTGTTAAAACAAAAGGTCCCATGGGCTGAAGAGAAGCACTAGCGGAAGAGGGGAAAAGCAGGGGCCACAGGCAAGAGGGAGACAGACAGGTGAGCAGGGGGAGCGGGGGTGTCCAGGACGGGCAGGGGGAAGGTTAGGCTCCAGGGAGTGATGGCAGGCTGGCTGTCTCTCTCTCCACCTCCGTCTCTCTCTCCTCTCTCCCCAACCCCACAGGGGGAGTTAGGGAGGGAAGGAATATGAGAGATGAGGACCAAAGAGAAAGGGCCTCATATCTGTCAAGGGCCTGCTGTGTGCCTTCCCATCTCAGGGTACACACTCAAATACCAAAGTGGTGCTGACAGCTCCCAACCAGCGGCCTGGGGCCCTGCAGAATGTGGGCCCAGCATACCCCAATCTTTCCAGTTTTCACAAAAAACCAGAAATCCAGATTACCATGTGCTATCGCCTGACCTTTTTTTTTTCTAAACTGTGGTGGAATGCACATAAAATTGACCATCTTAACTATTTTTAAGTGTACAGTTCAGTGACATTAAGTCGACTCCCATAGCTGGGCAACCATCACCACCATCCAGCTCCAGAACTTTTTCACCTTGCAAAACTTCTGCTGAGAGACTTCGCTGGTGGTGCAGTGGTTGAGAATCCGCCTGCCAATGCAGGGGACAGGGGTTCGAGCCCTGGTCCAGGAAGATCCCACATGCCGCGGAGCAACCAAGCCCATGTGCCACAACTACTGAAGCCCACGTTCCACAACTACTGAAGCCCGCGCGCCTAGAGCCCCGCTCCATGCAATTAGAGAAGGCCCACGTGCAGCAACAAAGACCCAACGCAGCCATAAATAAGTAAATTAATTAATTAATTAAAACAAAACAAAACAAAAAGCTTCTGCTGACCTTTTAGATGCTGGTAACACATTCAAAACTTTTAAAGCACAGAGAGGGTCAAATAGACCCAAGTGTGGCCCACGCAGGCTGTTCTGTGACCTCTGATGTGTATCGCCTCATTGAACTCACACAAGGACCTATGGGGTAGCAGAGACCCTGCTCCTTCCACAGGTGAGGAAACTGAGGCTGGGAGAGGCGAAGTCACTTGTCTAAGATCCCCCAGCCCATGAGAATGGCAGAGCTGGAGATTTGAGCTGGATTCAGTTTGATTCCCAAACCTCGGGTCTTTCTAGAACCACACAGCCTCCTAACCAGGGTGGGAATGACAGAGATGAGTGGCCTAGGAGCCCGGGAGACTGAAGCAGGTGTCCCAGACAGAGAGCGACACAAGAAGGACAGGACGGGGGAGCCACAGGTGTGTCCCCAGAGCCACCTGGAAAGGAGACTGGCTGGCACTTTGGGGCCCACGCAGCAGGGCCTGGGCACAGTGGACCGGGCCCTGCACCCAGCCCCTGGGGGCGGGTGCCGGGTGGACAGTCTGACCTGAAAGCTGATGTAGGACAGCTGCACGGCGCCCGTGACGCAGATGGTGTTGACGCGGTGGAAGGGCACGCGGTGTGCGTACTGCATGAAGAGGTTCTTGTTCACCATCACCTGCCGAGATGAGTGCATGTTCCAGGAGGGGGTCCCTGGCCAGGTGGGAACTCACCCAAGCTTCTGGGACCCCTGCTTCTAGAAGTTTAGGCCTGTGTCTAGTTTTCACATCCATCCCCTGTAGGTCAGGGGCATCAGCCTTCAGAGCTGCGCCAGCTACAGGAACATGCTTGTGATCCAAAGTGCATCCAAACACCATCCCTACGTGGCTCTGGTTGTTGGCTTTTTAGTTCTTATGATTGTTTGTTTATTGCAGTAGGTTTGTCTTTCTAATCTTAGGTCACCTGGGGTGTTACTGAAATATGCATACAAATGTTCCTGGGGAGCAGAGGAGAGGTGACGTCAGGTTGCATGTTGAGGGGTTGGGAACATCCATGTTCACACAAAGAGGCATAGACACAGATGTACTCACCCCTTCTCCTGTCTCCCCAAGCCCAGAGACACTGCGCTGCTTGCAAAAGCAGTTTGCAATGCCCTGCAAAACTAAGTCATTAATAACACCTGGATAAAGGCTGCAACAATGTAACGAAAACAAATGTTACCAGGGTCCTGGAGTGGAGGAAGGGCAGAGGAACGGAAATAATTTGGACTTTAAAGACCCAGGAGGCCAAAGGGCACCATGGTGACTTATCTAGTGCTTATTTCCGTAGTAAAAGAAGCAACAGGTGCACGTGTAGGTGCAGGTGGAGGTGCGTAAGGAGACTGCATCCTTGCAAGCAACAAAGGTGTTGCTCACGTGACTATTTAAACGCTATTCACTGCGCCTGATAAGGCTGGGGGACAGGCAGCTGAAGGGAAGAGAGGAGAGTTCCTGCTCACCTTGAACTCCGAGCTCTGTACCAGGAAGCAGAGCTCAAAGGGACACCCCCTCTGGAAGGGCATTTGCATCTTCCTTTCCTCAGCCCCCCAGCTTCCTTTCTGCTTCGTGTTGCAGACCACATATCCACCTTCTTCAAACCGAGGGTTGAAGTGGAAGGCAATGTCATTGTCATTGTGGCCGGTCTGAAAGTTCACAGCAAACCTAGGCCAAGGGAAATCAGACAGTGCTCTCGGTATCCTGGTTTACTACCAAGGGTGGGAACAGGAGGGTCTCACGCCTTTGACTGACATCCATCTGGCATCCTGCCTACAATCTGCGTGGCTGGTTTGTACCCATCCTTAGTTGTTGCCATCTTTTTTGCTCACCTTATTTGCACTTAGTATGTTTTCGAGCAGTTACCACATTTTGCTCTTACAGTGTGATTTTCTAAAAATAAGTAGAAAATGGGTAAAGAAATTTATCCAAGATGGAAGTCGAGAAATGTGCCTAGGAGTGAGAACCTTTTGCACCAAGTGGTCGCTCATTGGAGGCCAGCCCACGTCTGCTCAGTTGAGAGAGAAGAGGACAAATGGGAAGAACACGTGACATTGATGGGACGCCTACAGAGATGGTGTCTAAAGGGGAGGCATAGAATAAACACTAGCCCTCCGGGAGTGGGGACCTCAGTGTGCGCGTCTGTCCCCCTGTAGAGGTTAGCGTGTGTCCACCTGACCTGAGTGAGGTCAGCAAGCCCGGACCCAGACCCCAGCTCTTCACTGTTTGTCATTTGCAATGAACCCACACCTCGCTACCCTCAAGCTGCCGCACCCTGGAAAGGGAGGGACTGCCTTCCTTCGAGGATGATGAACAAGGCGGCCAGGGGAAATCCCCAAGCAAGCAACTCTTTGTTCCCATCTCTCCTCGGAGGAAGCCCCTCACCATCCCAGCTTCCTTTGGGTACAGCCTTGACTCTAAGGTGAGGACTGAAACAAAAGAATCTTCCCAGGGACCTGGCTCACAAAGTGGGCACAATAAATGTTTGTTCCGCCTCTTCCCAGACGGAGCTCACTCATGTCCCCAAACCAAGTTCCAGTCTGAGGTTCTGAGGGTCTCCAGCGAGGAGCCTTTCTCTAACCGCCTTCCCTGAACTCAGCACCAGTGTGGTCCGCAGCCTGCCTCTCGGGGTCACTTTGGTCTCCCCAACAAACACACAGCAGTCAGAGAGCACGCCTCGCTCCCATGTCATGCCCCACAGAGCCAGGCACTGCCCTGCACCCAAGGGTGGCCCTCGATGGACAGAGCCCCTACCTGCATAGCCCCTCCACTTTTTTTTTTTTTTTTTTTTTGCCGCACAGCTTGCAGCATCTTAGTTCCCCAACCAGGGATCAAGCCTGTGCCCCCTGCAGTGGAAGTGTGGAGTTCCGACCACTGGACCGCCAGGGAAGTCCCCAGAGCCCGTTCTCTTTCTCGGTTACGGGGGGTTGTGTCCTAGATGCCGTCCTCAACACCGGAGCACGCCGTGAACCCTCAGCCAGCGGGGCCTGCGGGAAACTGGCCTGGCCCTGAGCCCAACCGCCCTCCCTCTGGGAATACCAAAGGGAAAGGAAGCTCCAAGTGACTCTGGAATGAGAAAATCTAAGTCCCTATTCCTCTTAAAGTGGAGAATAGTGTTTCTGAAATATCTCTGGGTGTAGTTTTCTCTTTGCGGTCCTCCGGCTTCATTCCTGTGTTCCTTTGAAAATTCCTGCCCCAGGGAAGGGAGAGAGCAAAAGCTCCCACTGGAAGGGGGACCCTCGGAGGTAGGGAGAGATTCTATTAGACAGGGTGGGAATAGAAAGCCCTCCTGCATTGGGAGAAAGGGTAGTCAGAGGAAGGGGGAGAGAGAAAGCAATGGAAGTTCAGAGTCGAGGTCTGGGACTCCCATGCTGGCAGAGTTTTGGGGGATCTGGGTGCCTCACTTCCCTCCGAGTGCCCTGGGGGCACTCAGGGCTCTCAAAGTCCCATGGTCAGTGTGGCCATGTCCACCTGGAGGGGAAACAATGGCAGAGGAAGTCATCTAGAATCTAGATGCAGGGGTAGGGCTGGGCCTGGGAGGGGCCTGAAAGGATCCAGGAGGTCCCCAGGCCCCCGAGCCACCCGGACCTCAGCAGAGGTCAGCCAGGGCTGCGTGAGCATCCGAGGACCCTCCTGCCTCTGAGAATACGTGCAAGCTCTTCTCTTGGGAAGCCCCCTTGGGAGCTAGGAGGAGCGCTGGAAACAGCGCTAAGATATTTATTTTTTGAATTGACTTAGCATTTTCCAGAAAAGAGCTTGAAACTGAAAGAGACCAAATTACAACTTTGATGGCAAGTTTAACTATTTCCACGTCAGACCAAGTGAGGGTTCCGAAGTAGATGAGGGCAGCTATAGGAAATGAAGGAAGGTGATGTTTTTGCAACTCTGGGTCATAGCATACAATGCTCAGTCCTAGAACTTCTGCCTCTGGGCTGGCCTGCTTCCCTCCTTAGACTGGGAGCTCTCATTGGCCCCTCCCCCATCTTTGGGGAGTCTGGTTAACGGTGCCCTGGGCGCTACTGGCAGATGGCAGGAGTGCCGTGCATTGTTGGCAGGGGCCGGGCCCTGCTCATCCCCTGAGCCAGGTGCGGGCAGCTCGGAGGATGCTGGGTGGACCAACCTGAGCTGAGAGCGCCCTGGTTCGCTCAGGGGCAAGGCTGCGAGAAACAACAATTCCAGGTACCTGTTTCCGTTGGAATATATAACGGTCCCATTGATGGTGATCTGAAGTCCGTCCTGGAGACCCCCTTGGATTACCCCAGTGAAGGGGATGACCTGCGGGAGGAGACAGTGGTCAGCGGGCCGGCCTGCTTCTCTCCATCCCCTTCAGCACTTGCTGGGGGCTGGCCTGGGTGTCAGGCCCTGGGCTAGGGGCCAGGTGCAGCTGTGAGCAGGACAGATTGAGGCTCTGCTCCACGGACCTTCCAGGCCTGCAGCGAGGAAGTTACACAGACGTTCTGAGGTTGTGAGAAGGAGATGCCTCCGGCTCTGAGAGGATGTGACAGGGACAGTGTGACAGCTGCTAAGAGGAAGAAGTGGCATGTGCACAGCCCTTAGATGGGAAGGAACCAGGGGAGTGAGGAGGGGGCTGCTGGACCCCAGGCCAGGTTCCTAGCAAAGTCCCCTGGCTGGGGACTCAGGGGGCCCAAGGGACCAAAGAGACCCACCAACCTGTTCCCGAGGATAAACCTTCTGCTCACCTGAGCAGGCCAAGAAGAAGGCATCCTCCCCTCTCCTGCCCATCCCACCCTGAGAACAGTGGTGACCGTGACCTTTGCCCTCCAAGAAAGTGCCTCTTCCGGGGTGCTCTCTGCAACCACGGGGCAGCCCCCTCTTCTATTCCTGCTCCTGGGCTCCCATTCCTTCCCCCAGGCCCTTGGCATCCTCCAAAATCCTAATGTGACATCTCCACCCCTCCTGGGCCGCATGACTTTGTCACATTCTCTTTCCTGAGCCTCTATAAAGGATGCATGGTTACTGTGAGGGATGCCTCATTTTAGAGCCAGGCATACTCCAGATTTAAACCCTAATTTAGCTCCTTGTTAACTTAGCAGCCTTGGGAAGTTTATTTAACTTCTCTTTGCCTCAATTTCCTCATCTGTGAAATAGAGATAAATCCCACCTTCTGAGTGAGATTGATGACTGAGTGACAAAAAGTCTGTGGAAGAGACTGGTACATAGTAGGTTATCTCTATACTGCCCCTCTGCTTCCTTCCACCTTGGTCTCTAATCAAAATTCCTAAATTGCTTATGTCTCAACTTTCAAAGCTTCCTTCCCGAATGCCTTTTATCTAATGTGGTTCTACAAACTGCCTTAAACACAGTTCTATCTCCTAGTCAATTTTCACATTTTTCAAGTTGTTCAAGTCTTTTCTACCTTCTCCTTTAAGTGAATTCCTTACAAAAATTAAATGTGTGGGAAGAGATATGGGGACATATGTATAACTGATTCACTTTGTTATAAAGCAGAAACTAACACACCATTGTAAGATAATTATACTCCAATAAAGATGTTAAAAAAAATTAAATGTGTACAGGAGCCAGGCAGGTGAGGTATATAGGTGAGCTGGCCAGGTAGGGTACAATAGGGAGTGGTAGGGACTGAGGCAAAGTAGACATCATGTTCCTTATCTAAAGAGGCAGTGTCCACTCAGCTGTAACCAGTGATTACCATCCAGGTCCAGTGTTGGCAGAGCTTCCAAGTCTTTAGGAGAAGACCAAAATCTGGAATTTTTTTTCAGTAAAACTTTCTAATTTCTGGGGGAAAAATCCTTTAAAAAGGATTGTAGAAGAGTTCCTTTGTTATAGAGACATATAATGAAATATTTGCAGTGAAATGATATATCTAGATTTGCTTCAAAATAATCCAGAAGTGGAAAGGGAAGTAGGGTTGGGTAGAGATGAAGCAAGATAGGTCATGAGTTGAAACTGAATGACGGGTATATGTTGTTTATGATACTATTCTCTCTAAATTTGCTTTAGCAACGAGTTAAAATAAACACTGTGCAGGCAAACAAAAAACACCCACCAGCCCAGTTCAGCCCTAGCCTATGTCCTTGAATTGTACAACCACTCAGGATCCAGAGAAACCCCTCCTAACTTATGTGCACAGCTTGCCCTGGGAGATAACCTGTAACACCAGGATCCCATTCAGACAGACTCTGCTCTCCATGGACCTTTGGGAAAGGTGTCTCTTGTGGCACCTCAGGTTAGGTCTGAACTCTGCCATTAAATACTTTGGTGACCTTAAGCAAATCACGGCTTCTCTACATCTCTGAGTTCTTTCTGTTGTCTCTGTCCATGCCAGTGATTTTGAGGAAGTAGAATCAGCCTGACACAGTTATAGACCAGCACGCCGTACTTCCTGGAAAAAGAATCCCCTCATTTGTTTGTTGAAGCCTGAAGTTCTCTTAAGAGCCTTTCACACCATCATGACAGACAGGGCTTAAAATGCATACTCCTGGCAAGTGTGGGCCCTTCCCTTAAGCATATTCACACTAACGTATAAAGAACTGAAAGCAGAGTGTGTTGGGATGGGGTCATCAGAGCACAGAAGGAGGCAGAATGGAGGAAGCCATGTGTGGATAATGGGGGCGGGCAGTACAGGTTAATCTTAAGGAAGGATTTCCCCCAAGAAAAGCTTTGTGAGATTTTGTTGTCTTAAATGGTGCCCTCAAATTCTGAAACACAGGATTACTTCATATTGAGTATAATCCTAAAGGCAAGATTATTCACTGCCACATTATAATTGCAAAACATTGGAAAGAGTCCAAAAGTCCACCAAGAAGAAAATGGTGAAATTAATTACGGTATTTCCATACAATGGATTCTATGGAGCCTGAACACGAAGAGAAGAGGAAGAAGGGGACTTTGAGAACTGATACAGAATGATGCCACGTGTATTATTTAAAAAATGGGTTGGGAAGGCTATATACATATATTTACTTACCATGAATAAAACATTTCTGGAAGGATTCAAAGAAACTGCTAACATTGGTTGACTCCAAGGAGGGTATGGTAGACTAAATGATTACCACCCTCCCCTCTGTCCCACCAAAAATGTCTACATTCTAATCCCTGGAAGTTGTGAATATGTTGCTTTACACGGCAAAAGGGATTTTGCATATGTAATTAGGTTGAGGATCTTGAGATGTAGAGGTTATCCTGGATTATCCAGGTGGGCCCAGTGTAGTCACAGGGTCCTCAAAGAGGGAGGCAGAAGAGGAGAATTGGTAGTAGGAGATGTGACAACAGAAGCAAGAAGCTGCTGGCTTTAAAGGAGGAGGAAGGGGCCACAAGCCAACGCAAGCAGGCAGCCTCTGGAAGCTGGAAAAGGCAAGGAAACATTCTCGGACTTCCCTGGTGGCACAGTGGCTAAGAATCCGCCTGCCAATGCAGGGGACACGGGTTTGAGCCCTGGTCCAGGAAGATCCCACATGCTGCGGAGCAACTAAGCCCGTGCGCCGCAACTACTGAGCCCACATGCCACAACTACTAAAGCCTGCGTGCTCTAGGGCCCGTGCTCCACAACAAGAGAAGCCACCGCAGTTAGAAGCCCGTGCACCCAGAAGCCTACGCACCTCAACGAAAAGTAGCCCCCGGCTCACAGCAACTAGAGAAAGCCCACGCGCAGCAACAAAGACCCACTGCAGCCAAAAAAATAAAAAATTAAAAATAAAATGGAACAACCACTTAAAAAAAAAAAGATGAAAACATTTGAGATTCAACAGTTGCAGAAAAAAAAAAAAAAAGGAAACATTCTCCCCTGAAGCCTCCAAAAGGAAATAGCCTTGCTGACACTTGGGTTTTAGAGTTCTGACCTCCAGAACCGTAAGAGAATAAATTTGTATTGTTTTAAGCCTGGCTGGCCAAGGACCCTTCCGTGCATGTATGTGTGTGTGTGTGTGCGTGTATGTATGTGTGTGTGTGTATGTGTGTGTGCGCGCGTGTGCGTGTATGTGTGTGTGCGTGTGCGTGTGACCTCAGCAGGAAACAGCAGCACATGCTTTTGCTTTGTATGACTTAGGAGGATGGATTTTTATGCTGGATTTATGGTCCCACAGCTTGGGCTCACCTTCCAGCTCCCTGTGCTGGCAGCTCTGATGTTGAACAAGTCACTTGACCTGCCTGCACCCCAATTCCCTCTCCGGAACAGTGAGACAATAGCATTGCCAGCCTGGCAGTGTGCTTAAGAGAATTAAGTGAAAGGCTAAGTGGAAAGCCCTTGGCTGGAAGGCCTTGACAATAGCAGCTATCTGCATAAGGATGACTTAATCTTTCTGCTGGATTGCTCTCAGCTCTGGGCTGTGCCTGGAGGCTGAGGATTTTTTCCTCCTCTTCCTATCCGGTCTGGAAAGCAGAGTCAGGCCCTACAGGCCAGAGGGTGGGCAGCCCCCTTCTGGAGGCCCAGTGTCACAGAGGCCACCCAACCACAGCTGACACAGGGGGCTCACCCAGAGGGGGCAGCTTTTAGCCAAAGGGACTGCCGCCCTTCTGGTGGCCAACCTTCCCCGTCTGTGTTATCTTGTTATCCTCACAACGACCCTGGTCATTATTAGCGCCACATTTACAGATGCGGAGATAGGCACAGGAAGGTTGCATAACTTGCCCAAAGCCACACATGCTTTTACCCATGCTTTTAACCACCACACAGTCTGCTTCTCACGATGAAGCCCAGAACATCCTCGCTCCTGGCTCACCGAGTGTTCCCCTGGACCAAACAGCGAGTCCTGTCCTGACTGTGACACCAGCTGCCCTCCTGGCCCTCTGGGGGCTGGGCCAGATGAGGCCGGCAGGGCGTGGGCGAGGAATAGGGTGGGGGCTCCAGAGGCAGGTCCTGGAGGCGTGCCCTCCTCAGCAGACAGGCAGGGCAGAGGACCTTCCCACTGCATTTTGGAGGAAGTGAGGTCCCAGGTACTCAGGCCAATGGCTGGCCTGGCAGAGGGTGGCTACGTAGGCTGGACGGTGCTCCGGGTGCCTGTGAGGCCTGCACCCAGCCTCTTTCTGGCCTGGACTTCCAAGGCCCTGTTTTGGCTCTCTGCTCCCATAGAAGGAGTTTCCTTCTGATTTGAAACCTTTGGCTTTTGAGTCCAAGGGTTAGAAAGTAAAAACACGGTCCCCAGAATAATAAAACGTCAGGGCCTGGAAGGGGCTGCGGGTCGCCCATCTGATGGAGCAAGAGGCCCAGGTGACACGTTCTGACCCCGAGGCCATGGTGGAGGCACCCACCTGGTGGCCCAGCTTCCTCCAGCCCCACCCTGGGAGCCCTCACGAGATGGACGGAGTGGCACTTGGACACTGCCCAGAGCAAACAGGCCACGCCGGGGCCCCTGCAGAGGCGGGCTTGGCCTGTTTGCCCCCCAGCAGCTCCCCAGCACCTATTTCCACCCACCCCCGCTCCCCACGAAGGGCTCCGTCAGCCCACCTGCCGGCCTCTTGGGAAGCAGAGGCCGGGAGAGGCTCCTACTGCAGGGTCCGGCCCAGGACACAGTGACCACAGAATCCTCCTGGGCCTGGGCTGCCTCCTGCGGGCCCACGTCCTCCCGCAGTGCTCTCTCTGGGGCACCTCCTTCCTCTGGGGCGGGGGGGGGGGGATCAAGACACCTCCCTCCTCGGCCACTTACCATCTGGGGACATTTGACAAATGGCCGCCGCCTCTCTGAGCCTCAGTTTTCCATGTACGACACGGGGATGATGAGGGTTTAAAAAGGCCGCCTGCTACAGGGGCTCCCCAGAGAAAGCAAAAAGGCAGAGAAGCAGCCCTTTGCACCCCACAGTGCAGGGGCAGCCCCGCTCCCCCCCTAACTCCAGAGATGGTCCCTCTCAGACACCCTTGACCTGCCCTGCCTTGTTCACTCACCCCTCAGGGAGCAGACACCTCCTTGGGAGGCCTTCCCTGCTGCCCCCAGACTCGTAACAATTCTAAACACTTCCAGAGCACCCACAGTGGGCCAGACACCATTCAAGCTCTCTCGACGTGCTGCCTCACTTAATCCTTACCTCAGCCCTGGGCAGTGACTTAAGGATTATCCCCATTATACAGATGCAGAAACGGAGGCTCAGAGAGGTAAAGTAACTTGCTTGAGGTCACCCAGCTAGTAAATGGCTGACCCCAGAGAGGCCACCTTCAAAGTAAATGCCCTTCACTGCCGTGCTGGGTTGTTAATCTCCCCAGAAGCCCTGTTTACTTCTCCCTTCATGCAAAAAAAGCCATCACTTTTCTAGTTGTTACTTAGGCCCTTCTTTCCCCCACTGAACACCTAGAACAGGAGAGGCGCCCGGAGAGAGCTCAGTAAGCGTTTGTCAGACGCACAAATCCTGGTGATGCTCACCCCCTCCAGCCCTGAACGGCACCAGGGAGATGGGTGCGGAGCAGAAGTTGTGTCAGGGTTGCCCCAGCTGGCATTTCTGCCCTTGTGGTGTTCTCTTTGGGATGCCACCCACTTCCACCTGCACTAGCTGCTTCCTCAGAGCCCCACAGCTGTTTCCCCCTGGCTGAGGCTACCCACGGCCCCGGAACTCACTGGGCTCAGGTAGGGAGGCTGGGCGCCGCCGAAGGCCATCTCTCCACCGTCTCCGTGGCCGCTGCCACTTTGCACACTGACAGGGCAGTCCTCTGCACTGGGGAGGACTTAACAAAGAAATAGAAACCAAAGCAATTTGGCACTTATTCAATGGGGAGGAGCCAGGAGCAAGAGGAAGTGGGTTTAGAGAAAGGGAGAAAGGTAGGTTGCCGAGGGAGGAGAGTGGAGGATGATACTTGGGAGAGGGAAGTGGGTGATCCTCACCCCGTGCCCTTTCCCTCCACTCTCCTTCTGCGCTCCACCTGTGACCGAATAGTTCACAGAGGCTCGTGTAGGCTCAGAGATCCTGACCACATTCACACTGCAGCGAGCTACCAGACGACACTATCCGTGAGCGTGTGGCTGTGTCATGAGTGTCCAGAGAACAACGGTGCTGCCTGTGCACGGGTTGGTGGTGGAGCTGGGAAAGCCTGGTTATACCCATTTTCCAGACAGAGAAACTGAGGCTCAGAGAGTCTTAAGGGTCATGCCCAAGGTCACACAACTCACTAGTGGTATCCTGAGCCATATGAGGCTACTTAGGTTCTCAAAAAGGTATTCTTCCCCTTTAAAATTCTATTCCTCATATAAAAACATAATCACGTAGGGACTTCCCTGGTGGTCCAGTGGTTAGGACTCTGCTCTTCCACTGCAGGGGGCATGGGTTCTATCCCTGGCTGGGGAATGAAGATCCCGCATGCCGCCGGCATGGCAAAAAAAAAAAAAAAAAAATCAGGACTTCCCTGGTGGTCCAGTGGGTAAGACTCTATGCTCCTAATGCAGGGGGCCTGGGTTCAGTCCCTGGTCAGGGAACTAGATCCTGCATGCATGCCACAACTAAGAGTATGCATGCTGCAACTAAAAAATCCTGTGTACTGCAACTAAGAAACAGTGCAGCAAATAATAAATCAATCTTTAAAAAATAATCATAATCATGTAGAAAGAAATGTTTTGCAAACAGAAAACGTCGCACCAGAGTCACCTTATCCTTGTGTATAATGATGCCCTGGGAGCTTCTGATCCCTCCTCTCTAGGAATTTCTCCCTTCTCTTCTCTCCCTGGATTCTGGGCTTTAGAATGGGGAGTGGAGAAGTCTTGGACGTAACAGAACATTCCAAGTGACATGGAGGTGGGGGCAATATATTGAATAAACTGTCTTTAATTGGCTCCAGCACCTTATTAAAGGAAATGATTGACTGAAACAGAGACTCGGGATCAGCTGGGTCGGGGAGGGGGGCAGGGAGGAAAGACATAGGGACAATATACTTAGCTGAGGTCAAGCAGGCTCTCACCGTGTGCCAGAGACAGGGCCCCGCAGTCAAGCCTGGATGATCAGCTAAGGGCCCTACAGGCACCGCGTGGGTAGCAGGTGCCCTGGGGCCGTGCACGTGTCTGCACCTCTCTCCCTTCTTGTGCTTGCCTGAGTGCCCCAGAATTTACAAAGACTGACTTCTTTGAGATGTTCCCATAGACTGAGGCCACATGCCTCCTCCGTCTACCCTCCATCCCCACTAGATGCCTGGAATTTGACCGGATTTAAGGGACAGATGGCACAGTTGGAGCAGAAAGGAGGAAAAGAAGGGGAAATTCTTTGCCATCCTCTTTGACACCAGGGACATGGGGACCGTTTCCTCATTAACTGGGATAGGGAGCAACTGGAACTCTCATTCATTGCAGGTGGGAGTGTAAAATACTACAGCGTTGGAAACAGTGGATCGTACATAGTAAAGTCAAACACCTATCCCTCCTGTGTCCCGGCTTTTCTGCTCCTAGATATTTACCCAAGAGATGTGAGAATATGTGCACGTGTGCACAGCAGCTTTACCCATCATAACCCCGCACTGGAAAAAACACAAATGTTCACCAGCAGGAGAAAGGAAAAACGAATGGTGATATGCCTACAATGGACCAGACCTCGGCGATACAAAGGGACCACAGATACAGGCAAGGTCATCAGTGAGCCTCACATTTGAGCAGAGCCAGACACAAGTGAGCACAGGCTGGGAGCATTCTGATTACATAAAATCCAATGACAGGGGCTTACCTGGTGGCGCAGTGGTTGGAAGTCCGCCTGCCGATGCAGGGGACACAGGTTAGTGCCCTGGTCCGGGAGGATCCCACATGCTGCCGAGCGGCTGGGCCCGTGAGCCATGGCCGCTGAGCCTGCGCATCCGGAGCCTGTGCTCCGTGACGGGAGAGGCCACAGCAGGGAGAGGCCCGCGTACCAAAAAAAAAAAAAAAAAAAAAAGAAGCAGAAGGGCGTGTGCAGCCACAGCATTGGCTCCAGCTGGGGAAAGGCCTGTGGGGCTTCCATGAAAGGTAAAGGCCCACATGGGTGCCCACAGGTGTTCCCAAACAGCATCACTACGTCGGCTGAGATCGACACTGCAAAACAGCACGGAGGTTCCTTCAAAAACTAAACATAGAATTACCGTGTGATCCAGCAATTCCACTTCTGGGTATATATCCTAAAGAATTGAAAGCAGGGACTTGAAGAGGTATTTGTACACCCGTGGTCAACCCAAGTGTCCATCGACGCATGACTAGGTAAAGAGTATGTGGTCTCTATGTACAATGCAATATTATTGGGCCTTAAAGAGGAAGGGAATTCTGACACAGGTTACAACATGGATGTTGAGGAAGGAAGAAATTTTCCTCTACCCTTCTAGGTTCTTCTGGCTGGTCTAAGAATTCAATTGCCATGAGACAGACTAACAGGAGAAAAATCTAACAAGAGTTTAACAACACGTGTACATGGGAGAGACCCAGGAGAGCTAACTCACCATAATGGTCAAAGCCCTCACCTTAAATACCACCTTCAGCTAAAGACAGAAGAGGGTGTTGAGGGTAATTGTTTGGCAAATAAATGCTTGCTGGGCATAGAGCAGACTCTGATCTCTAGGCCCTGCCGGGTGTCCCTCACCACACCTAGTCCATGTTCTCCTGCAAATATCACTGGTCACGGCTCTTTGCCTGGAACAGGCCCTTTTTCTACAAACTTTGCGGCAGCTGAGGGGTGGTAACAAAAACTTCGCATCTTATGTTTCTTAAAAAGAATCAGCCTAAATGAATCCTCATGCCAAAGTGACACATTTGGGGTGGCAAATATTGTTCCTCAGCGCTCTCTAAGCTTCAGTGTTTCCTTATCTGTGAGGTGTGGCTGATAAGAGAACTTATTTTACATGGTTGTTGTGAGCATTGAATGAGCTAAGGCTTGTAAGGCACTTAGTCCATGCCTGGCACACAATGAGCGCTCCATAGACTCCATCTGTGTCCTCGCGTATCTGGCCTGTATGTGCTGAGGCCCTGAGAGAATTCAGAGAGGAGGTGGCTCTTGCGCGGGGTTGTGAAGGGTCGGTTGTATCCCTTCCATGGGTGGCAGGGGTAAGGAATAGAAGAACTTGCAGCCCCATGGAATGCAGCGCACTCAACGTCACCGTTTGGTCACACTCCCTCCCTGGGGAAGCCATGTGAGCAAACATTTAGCACCAGACGTGCAAAGGATCAGTGTCGTATCAGCTGACTGACCAAACACACAGCTGCTTTTGCCTTCAGTGTTTGTATGACTAGCCTGGGACCAGCCTTACTTCCTGATTTCCTTTAAACAAACTTATATGCATTTATTTAAAAAGCAAACTTTAACTTATGATCATAAATGAAAACCATTGCCACTTCCATAAATAAAAACTACTGGTGGCCGAAATGGGTGACAGTGGTCATGTGAATTTGGTGGGGGACACCATATTCAAAACGTAGCAGTCGACAAATACCCCAAATATCACAAAATCCAGGAAAATAATATTTTTATTAATTAATATCCTGGCACCATAATACTTTCTGACTTTTGGGCCACATACTCTCATACTCTTTGCTTCTTCATGTGATGAAGATTTGACATGTTTTCTACAGAGAATGTAGAAAGATCATTCTGTCTTTCCAATGACCTGCTCTCCTCCACTTTGGGCCCCAGGCAACGCGGGACAAATTCCTTTGTGACAGACCTCAGGCCCTGCCTGTTTGTACTGGACCCAGGTGAGTGGGCACAATGGGAAAGAGTGTTCCAGAAGCCACTTCTAAGCTGGGACCGCTGGGAAAAACTGGATTATTCATGGAATAATTTTATTTGCACCTTTGTAGACATTAGATTCTAGTGCTGTTAACTGTCTTTGAGGTTTTGTCATATACCTGTAAACTGGACTGGGTCCTGAATTCTTCTAGTTTCTTCAAACATCTGGCTATGACTCAACAAATTAACATTCCCAGTGGTCTTCCACCATCTGATTTGGAATCACTAAGAGCAAAGACTGCCCTTAAATCTCCTAGGAAGGGACTGTACCAGGTCCTCCCAACTATGCTGATAGCAGTCAAGCCCCAGGGACTCGAACCTTGGATATGCCTCTCACAACAGAAGAAGACCCACCTAACGCCTGGTCCTGTACAAGGGCTGGAGACCTCCGAATCAAACTGGTGAGGAAGAGAAGTCGCTGACATTCAGGAAGACAGCTTCTGCCTGAGATGATCGATCAAGACTTCATACTTTAACTAAACATGAAACCCTTTCTCCTTCTTTTCCTCTCCTTTCCTCTGGCATTGACCTGGAAAGATAATGCCCTCATCTGTATCCCCCAAGCCACTGCTAAGGAAGGTAATCTTTCAATTGAATTTATCACCAAAGTTTCCAATCTATCTATAACTATCTAGATCGGATTTGCCTTCACTAAGAGCTTGTCTACGTGCAGTAAAGCCCATCTACTGACACCGGGTTGTGGTGAAAGAAAGTGTTTACTGCAGGGCACCAAGCAAGGAGACCAGGCAGCTGGGTGCTTAAAAAACCCGAACTCCCCAATGGCTTTCAGGGAAAGGATTTTAAAGACAGGATAAGGGAGAGGGTTGCAGGGTGTGTGATCAGCTCACGGACATCTTCTGATTGGCTGGTGGCGAGGTAATCGGGAGTCAACACCATCAACCTTGTGGTTCCAACCAGTCTGGCGTCTACGTGCTTGTGGACAGCAGGCAGTGAACTTCTTCCACCTCGTGCAGGTTTCAATAGCTGTAAAACAGCTCAAAGGATGTGGCTCAGAATATTATCTCTAGCCCTTGAGGAGGAATTAAAGGTCCTTGACTGTGTTTAGTGGCTAAACTATTTTTATTTTGTCTTGCTTGACTGTTTTCCTTTGCTTCTGCCTTTTCTCATTTCTCTGATTAAATTTATTCCTTGGAACTTGGGGAAGGCCTAGGAGGCTAAAGTTTTGCTACAGACATGGGGTGGTTGCAGCTGTTCCCAGAAGCCCCCATAGGGTCCTCTTCAGTTACAAATGTCGTGAGAATTAAGCAAAAACGTCACGACCTCTGGATACCACACCAACGGTCAACGAAGCTGTGGGGACTATAGGTCAGAAGACGAGGGTGATGATAATGTCTTAAATTCTGATGCCATCTCTTGGTTAGGCTGAGATTTAGCTCAAAAGTGGTGAATAGTTAAAAGAAAACTACAGGCTCGAAATGGCATCACTTTTGCCAAAGCCCATGATACCAAACCTAGATGTAATACCTGACCTACCTGTAATTTTGACCTTCCCCAGGAATGTGGTCTTAATCAGCCAGTGTGGAATTTTCTGGTCAGTACCCAGGAGGTAATCTGTCTCCTGGGCCCTCTCCATCGGGGAGGAGGAAGCAGTCCACATGAGTGACCCTTGCCCTGCTCCCAAAAGAAGGTGACTGGGCATGAAACAGTCTTTTCTTAGCTTTTGTTAATAGCTCCCTTGCCCCACACTCCTTCTGCCTATAAAAACCTTCCTTTTATTATTTATTTATTTATTTATTTTAACAACCCATCGGTTTCTTTCTATTTACAACAGAGGATGCTGCCTGATTCATGAATCATTGAATAAAGCCAATTAGATCTTCAATTTTACTCAGTGGGATTTCGGTTTTCTAACAGCTGTCATTTTCATCTTGGCAGCTCACGGTTCCTTGTCTCCCTTCTTCTCCGTAAACCAGCCTATAGCACCTGCCAGCACTTGCTAGGATACCCCAGGGAAGTCCTCTCTCTGGTGTCCAACTCTGGAACCATCTACTCCTGCAGAGGCCATGCACCTGCTTGAATGGAGTAGCATTTAAAGACGCGGTATCAGGGCACAGAGATAATTAGGAGATTTCAGATATGAAACAGTGGGCTGAAGACACAGCCATTGTTTGCCAAATGCTCCTTCCCCCTCCTGCTTTCGAGTCAGCGTGGAAGCTTCCATGAGCGATGAGCAGGAGGACAGAGGGATTCCCACCAGGATCTCAGGTTGCCCTGGTTAATCTTCCACTCCCCCCCCCACCCTTCACTCAGGCCCTGAGTAAACAGATTTCCATTGCCTCTGGTTAGCACTTCCTCAAAAGGTAAAAATGGCCTATCAAGAAAGGAAAAAAGTCCTGCAGCCAGATGTCATATCAAAACTCTTTAGGGAGGGCTTCCCTGGTGGCGCAGTGGTTGAGAGTCCGCCTGCCAATGCAGGGGACACGGGTTCGTGCCCTGGTCCGGGAGGATCCCACATGCCGTGGAGCGGCTGGGCCCGTGAGCCATGGCCGCTGAGCCTGTGCGTCTGGAGCCTGTGCTCCGCAACGGGAGAGGCCACAACAGTGAGAGGCCTGCGTACCACCAAAAAAAAAAAAAAAAATCATTAGGGAAAATATCCTGAATGTCACAGTTATAAACAAGCCTCCCCACCCCATGTCCCCACAACTGGGGAACCTGGAGGTCACAAAACCACGGACACAGAAGCAGAAAGCACAGACTACAATGAAAAGGTAATGATTCACCTTAGTTCATCCCACTGCAGCTTAAGGGAAAACGTACAAATCTTGGCAAACGCTACCTCTGTCCACAGTAACCCCTAAACGTTTTAAGTCCCACAAAATGGTTAGATTCTCTCATCTGAGTTCAGTTTGCCAAATCCAGCCTTCATCCGCGTGGAGGAATGTGTCCTGTGAGAATGGAATCAAAGCGCGATTTGCGCGTCCAGTGTTGATGACTACATTTCCTAGTTCCCACCCTCGCTCATTCATTTCTAGAGCAAACACACCGTGAAGGTGTGCAGCCAGGCAATGCTTACCAACCCACTAGCCTCTGCACGCAGACGATCCTGGCCCTGGGGCCCAGACCGCCACTGACCTTCACAGCTGAGCGATACAGCTCCGTCTGGGGTGGGGACGCGCCCCTCTTCCTCATGTTTGCGCCTCCTGGCCAGTTTCTTCTCCACCTGCCTGGGTGGTGATGACAGCTTCCCTGGCCTGAGTTTCACCTCCTACCTGGCAAGTGAGAAATGCAGCAGACACATCCAGATAAGCCACTCCTTCCCTGTGAGATATTCTAAATCTTGCAGGTGGAAACCTTTAACAAATTTGAACGAGAAATTGATAACAAGCCTTTTGCCTCTTTGTTACCGGTGAAAACTTTGGAAACCTGCCGTTCTGGCTCTACCTGGGGGCAGCTTCTCACGGCAGTGTCACCTGAGCTGGCTGCACCTCCCGCTGAAACTGTTCAGGACTCTGTGGGGCCCTCCTGGGTACAAAAGCCCCTCTGTGACTCCTGTTTCTTTCTTTTTCTTTTTTTAAATTTTTTAATTTTCTAAACAACCACTTGATTTTATTTACATCATAAAAACTGATCCCGTTTCTTGTTTGTAAAAAAAGACTTTAGCCTAGTCTCCTAGGCTTTCCCTTGGTTCCAAAGAGCAGACTCAACAGTTACGAAGTAGGGAAGTGAGGGAATGCAGAAACAAAGGAAAAGCAATCAAAAAACAATAGTTCATGGAATTCCCTGGCAATCCAACGGTTAGGAGTCTGCACTTCCATTGCAGGGGCATGGGTTTGATCCCTAGTCTGGGAACTAAGATCCTGCAAGCTGCGTGGCACGGCCAAAAGAAACAATAGTTCTGTTAGGGGAGCCACTAACTGAAACCACCCACCCTGGTCAGGCACCACAGTAACTGCGTGAGTTATCTTGAGACAGGAAGTCCTGATAACGAATGCAGAACTCACAAGCCACCACCAACAGGAAGAATTCGGGCAATGTCAAAAGGAGAGACCAGACGCCAGTCCATAGACCCTACCAACCTCCCAGAATCTTCCTCCCTGGTATCTATCTTGGCTGAGCAATGCACTCGCCACCAGGAAGGACCCTGAGTCAGAAGGATTGGCCAGAGACAACCCGGAAACTAATCCCATCACCGTAAAACCCGAAACTGCGAACCACGTGGCAGAGCAATCCTCCTGGCTTCCCTTACCCTGCTGCTCTCTGCCAGGGCTCCCCTTCCCAATAAAGTCTCTGGCTTTGTCAGCACATGTGTCTCCTCGGAAAATTCATTTCCAAGTGTTAGACAAGAGCCCACTCTTAGGCCCTGGAAGGGGTCCCCCTTCCTGCAACAGTTCAGCAATAATACAGCATTCTAGCTCCTCCTCAAGGGATGTACGTAACAATCTGATACCATCTTTGAGTTGTTCTGCAGGAATTAAGACCCCTACCCAGGAGGGGGATGGTAACACGCTCAGACCCCAGACTGGTTGGAACCAGAAGGTTGATGAATGAGATTCCTGGAACACTACCATTACCTCACCACCAACCAATCAGGAGAAAGTCATGCCCCCTGCAGCCCTCACCCCCAATGTTGCCTTTAAAAACTCTTCCTTAAAAGCCACCTGGGAGGTTGGGGGTTTTGAGCACAAGCCACCTGTTCTCCTTGCTTGGTCCTGCAATAAACAATCTTCTGTTCCAAACTCTGATGTTTCTGTTTGTTCAGCCTCATGGAGCATCATCGGGCACATGGAGGCTGACCACAGCATCCTCTCTCTGCTTAAGGCGGGCAGTCCTCACTGGGCTGGGGGTGGGGGTGGGGAAGCAGGGGACCAGGACTTAGACCCTGTCCTTTGCCTTTGCCCTTTACCCTGTAGCCTCTTTCTCCCCACCCAACCCAGCCTCACTCACCCTCTCTCCTCTGTCCTTCCTCCCAGCCCCTCTGCCTCTCACAAGTCTCTCCCTGTTCCCCCACACAGCCCTCCACTACTGCCAGGAGAGCAAGTGTGTCTCTCCCCTCCCACACTGGCTGTGCTCTTGGTAATCATGGTAACCATGGTAACCACTGGATCACCTTCCCCTTCCCCCTTTGTGCTCATGGCTCTGCATAAGAGAGTCAGGGTCTTAACACCTCCCAGCTCTACCCCAAAACAGGCCTTAAGTAGCATTTTGGATAAAATAACTCAGAAATTTACTTGAAAAGAAGACGGTATCCAGGAATTCCCTGGCAGCCCGGTGTTTGGGACTCCGCGCTTTCACTACCGAGGGCCCGGGTTCAATCCCTGGTTGGGGAACTAGGATCCCACAAGCAGCACAGTGTGGCCGAAAAAAAAAAAAAAAGAAAAAAAGAAGAAGAAGACAGTATCCAAGGACCCAGGCTGAGCATGACCCAGCAGGTTCAAGGCTGTCATGGGGGCCATGGCGTCTGGCTGGCCCTCCTGCCCCAGTCCTGGCCTGACCTGGCTTATTTGTGTCCAGCTCTGCGTTTCCCCCCCAAGCTGCTAGAGGTACTGACGGGGTTCAGGGCAGGCAGCCACTTTGGCATATGGATTATTTTGAGCTGAAGATAATCAAGACCTAAAAAGACTCAGGAAGAGCTTTTCACCTCCTGCTTAACTGCCTAAAAGAATTTAGACAGACAGCCTGGTCCACGAAGAGAGCCCTCAACAGAGAGACCTGCAGAGGATGGGCTGGGTGTGGGAAGCTGGGGAGCTGGGTGGGATCCCATTGTCTCTGCACGGCATGGTAAACGTTCTTCCCATCTTCCAGTGAATTAATTCCCTTTGACGCCCCAGACCCCTACCCACTTCTCCCACCTCAGGATGCATATAAGCCCCAACTGACCAACTGTCTTTGAGCCTCTTGTGTCTAAGTGAGGCTCCCATACGTACGAGATTAAACTTTTCTCCTGTTAATTTGTCTTACATTGATTTAGTTATTAGACCAGCCAAAAGAACCTAGAAGGGTAAAGATATTCCTCCCCTACACCAAAGTCTGTCCCCTGCCCTCCTGCCATTTTAGCATCTGTGTCCCTGGGAGTATAAAAGAACAAAGAGAAGGTGGAGGTGTATCTCCAGCCTGACTTAACAGAAGTTTATATTAAAATGAACAAAGCAAAACAAAATCAACCAAAAGCCCTCTCTTGCACTCAGACCAGGATCAGGGTCACAAACGCTTAAAATGCATCGCTGAGGGGGCTTCCCTGGTGACGCAGTGGTTGAGAGTCCGCCTGCCGATGCAGGGGACACGGGTTCGTGCCCTGGTCCAGGAAGATCACACATGCTGCGGAGCGGCTGGGCCCGTGAGCCATGGCCGCTGAGCCTGCGCGTCCGGAGCCTGTGCTCCGCAACGGGAGAGCCCACAACAGTGAGAGGCCCGCGTACCGCAAAAAAAAACCAAAAACCAAAAACACCCGCATTGCTGGGCTCCACCCCCGAAGTTCCTGATGCTGTATAGCTGGTTGAGTGCAGAGAATTTCTCTTTCAAACAAGTTCCCAAGGGATGCTATGCTGCTGGTCCTGAGACCCCACCTGGAGGACCACTGGCCTTCAGAAAAGGGCTGATATTCTGCCAGTTCGCACCTGTGGACTTCCTGGTCATTTTCGACCAGCGTCGCCTCTGACTGGTGGGTGTCTACATTTTTTTTTTTTTTTTTCGGTACGCGGGCCTCTCACTGTTGTGGCCTCTCCCGTTCCGGAGCACAGGCTCCGGACGCGCAGGCTCAGCGGCCATGGCTCACGGGGCCCAGCCGCTCCGCGGCATGTGGGATCCTCCCGGACCGGGGCACGAACCCGTGTCCCCTGCATCGGCAGGCGGACTCTCAACCACTGCGCCACCAGGGAAGACCCGAGTCTACGTATTTTGAAGATCTCATTTGCCTACAGGGACCAGGGAAGTAATGGGTATACCTGGGCTGGATGAAATGCCTGGGCCCCTCAGTCTAGCATGTCACCTTCTCACTTTTGATAGGTATAGGAAACATGTCCCTGTCCTCTTTGCTCTAGGCGATGAAACTCAGGCCCCAGCAATCGGCCGGGGCAGGGACTCAGCAGGACAGAGGCTGTCCGGCCCCGTGGGGGCAGCTGTGCTCAGCCACAGCTGATGCTGCCTCTGGGAAGACCGGCCCAGCATCGCCCGAAGAAGCCAGGGCTTCAGATTTTCCTGTGAATGTTTCCTGGTTTTAAATGCTAGCAACTGATTTAGAACCATATTTCTTAAGCTCTGCAGGTCAAACAAAATACACCTTCAGGTGGAGTCCTCTGAGTTGTGGGAAGTGAAGGCTGAAATGTCCTAACACCTTCCAAGTTCAGTCCTCTCATCTGGAAACAAAGAGGACAATTCTCAAGTCATGGGGCTCTTGAATGGATAGGATGAGATAGTGTGCATCAAAGTGCCACGTAAATTGAAAAGTGCCGTGTAAATGCTGGTTGACACTGTCCCCTTTGCCATGTTTCCCAGAGACTTTGGGCAGGTTGCAGAGCAGGGGAGGGAGAGGGTGTGGGGGGAGGGAGCTTTTCTAGGTAGGGGGGAAGGGAAGGCCTCCGGGAGCACCGCCACCCCCCATATCCTCTGTGCCTCAGGGCTTCTGCCCCCCATGGGTCTCCTGTCCCTCACCCCTCCTACCTCCTGGGATGACTCCTTGGAACCCAGGCAAGATTTGGGTCTCTTGAGAATGCCCATGAAATAGTTAAAATTTGTGAAGCCACTGTACCTAGAGTATGCTCGGGCTCCAGAAACTTTATGACGAAACCTCATGAAGCCAGAGGACAGAGTCTAACTAGGTGGGGCAGCCAGGATGGAACCTCCAATTGCCCGCCGTCAGCCTTCTCGGGCCTGGGTATATTGGCTATATGTGTACCAAAGAGAGAGAAGGCGGGCTAGAGGCACGGGGAGGACACCAGGTTAATGGGAACAGCAGTTAAGTAGATGATCTCAAAGAAAAGTGGTTCTCAGAGGGGACCAGTTACATAAACCATGGACTATGTGTACTGTGGGCTATCATGCAGTTATTAAAAGACTAAGTTAGATCTACATGCGTGAACTGGGAGGGCTGCCCCTGATCTATTCACAAATAAGCTTCAGGGAAAAATATATTTATGTGACAGTGTATATCACATGAGATTTATGTATTGGGTTGGCCAAGGAGTTCGTTCAGTTTTTTCCATAAGATGGCTCTAGTAGCGCTTAGTTGTCCTTAACTTCCTTCAAAACAATTTTGTTAGACTGTATGTGACAGCTGGTGAATTTTTGTGTAGCCATTTTAACATTGAAGATGGAAGAAAAAAAGCAACATTTTTGGCATATACGCTTTATTTCAAGAAAGGTAAAAATACAACTAAAACACACAAAAAAGATTTGTGCAGTGTATGGAGAAGGTGCTGTGACTGATCGAACGTGTCAAAAGTGGTTTGCGAAGTTTCGTGCTGGAGATTTCTCGCTGGACGATGCTCCACAGTTGGGTAGGCCAGTTGAAGTTGATAGCGATCAAACTGAGACATTAATTGAGAACAATCAATGTGATACCATTTGGGAGATAGCCGACATACTCAGAATATCCAAATCAAGTGTTGAAAATCATTTGCACCAGCTTGGTTATGTTCATCGCTTTGATGTTTGGGTTCCAAGTAAGTTAAGCGAAAAAAAACCTTGACCGTATTTCCGCATGCGATTCTCTACTTAAACGTAATGAAAACGTTCTGTTTTTAAAACAAATTGTGATGGGCGATGAAAAGTGGATACTGTACAATGATGTGGAACGGAAGAGATCGTGGGGCGAGTGAAATGAAATACCACCAACCACACCAAAGCCTGGACTTTATCCAAAGAAGGTGATGTTGTGTATATGGTGGGATTGGAAGGGAGTCCTGTATTATGAGCTCCTTCTGGAAAACCAAACGATTAATTCCAACAAGTACTGCTCCCAGTTAGACCAGCTGAAAGCAGCACTCGTCGAAAAGTGTCCGGAATTAGTCAACAGAAAACACAAAATCTTCCATCAGGATAACGCGAGACCAAATGTTTCTTTGATGACCAGGCAAAAACTGTTACAGCTTGGCTGGGAAGTTCTGATTCATCCGCCGTATTCACCAGACACGGCACCTTTGGATTTCCATTTATTTAGGTCTTTACAAAATTCCCTTAATGGAAAAAAATCTCAATTCTCTGGAAGACTGTAAAAGGCACCTGGAATAGTTCTTTGCTCAAAAAGATAAAAAGTTTTGGGAAGATGGAATTAAGAGGTGGCCTGAAAAATGGCAGAAGGTAGTAGAACAAAAGGGTGAATATGTTGTTCAATAAAGCTCTTGGTGAAAATGAAAAATGTGTCGTTTATTTTTACTTAAAAACCAAAGGAACTTTTTGGCCAACCCAATATATATATGTCATATATATCATGTATGTGATGTCATTGTTTAATAAAACCACCACAAACCCCAAACCATGTTTATATGCAGCAGAGAGGAAGAAAAGTCTCCACGTTTAACACTGCTCATCTCAGGACAGGGATTAGAATGAGGTGTTGGGGGGTGGCGGGAGGCGGTAGGGAATGAAGGTTTAACATTTTTCCTGTCATTTCAGTAATGTTTGACATTGCAATGGGTCTGAGTGACTTTTCTAATATAAAGACATCTAACAAATACACTTTTTTTTAAGATTCCAGGTATTAATCAGGTAAGTCTGGGTTTGAATCCTGCCTCTGCCACTTACTAACTTGGGCATGCGATATAACCTCTATGGGCCTGTCCCTTCAACTATAAAATGGGTTAATAAGAGTACCTACCTCCTAGAGTTATTATGAGGATTAAATCAGATACATGTCATATGATAAGCACAATGTCCAGAATTGTCTCAGTACTTGCTTGCAATTACTTTTACCAAAGAATATAATTTTAGTGTAACCCACCTACAACAGACCCCAAAATGTACTGTGGCTCAACCCCAGTCGTTTTCTTCTTGTTCACATTCCAGTCCTGGGCAGGTATGGCAGGTGGCAGGTGGCCTCTTCCATAGTCGTGCAAACACCCAGACTGCTGGGATGCTGCCATCCACTAACACGTGGCTTCCCAAGTTGCCCTGGGAGGTCTCCGCTCTCCTTTGCTCAAAGTAAAATGGTCTCCTCCTGCTTGTATGCACCAGGCATGTTACCCTTCAAGTCAGCTCCAAGGTCACCTCCTCCATGAAGCCTGCCAGGCAGACTGAGGGACCCCTTCCTTGAGCCACTCACTGGCTGAAGGCAAGGTCTCTACTTTTTATCTGTCCCCCAGCACTTTGCACCATCTTTTGAACACAGTAGGTGCTCAATAAATGTCTGGCCAATAAGTTCCCCAACTTCTTATGAGAAGGAAGTTCTGGAGTCAAGCCATGACCCAAGTCCTGGACTAGCCCCCCACCAGTTGTGTCAACTTGGGTAAATATCTTAACTTTTCTGTGCCTCACCCTCCTCAGCTGAAACATCACAACAGTTCCTACCCCATGGTGCTGCTGTGAGGACAGGATTACGGTCAGATGATGTGTAGAAAGCACCTCTCTGGCTCAGAGGATGTCAGTCCCCCTTTGTCTCCATCTGTTTTGCTTACCCTGACCTCCTGCTTACCTGTCTCTCTTTATAACTGGCAAGGAGAGGCTCCTAGAAATAAGATTTAGATAAATGACCACTCCCCACCCCCCAAGGCTTGCATAATGCAAAGGCCCTTCGAGCAGAGGAGACAGTGACTGGTCTGAGTGTGCTCGTGGGCTGGCACTGTCGGGGGCTGGATGACCTTCCTCCGTGCGACATAGGCTTTGATGCTGTTCTGTCTCCGTTCCTCCATCTGTTTACAAGTATCTGCCTTTGAGGTGCAGGCAAAACTTCTCTCCTTGGAAGGAGCTCCCAGAGGGGGTCAAACACCCTGCCCCCTCCCCTCCTGCTTTCCCACGCCATCCATCTGAGCGGTTCCCCCCCACACACACCCCGCCCCACACAGTCATCTGGAACCGACCCAAGCAGACACAAGCCCCAGATACCTTGGTACAAGTATTTTTTTTTAATTAATTAATTTATTTTTGGCCGTGTTGGGTCTTTGTCGCTGCGCGCGGGCTTTTCTCTGGTTGCGGCGAGCAGGGGCTACTCTTTGTTGCGGTGCGCGGGCTTCTCATCACGGTGGCTTCTCTTGTTGCGGAGCACGGGCTCTAGGTGCGTGGGCTTCAGGAGTTGTGGCTCGTGGGCTCTAGGCGTGCAGGCTCAGTAGTTGCGGCGCACGGGCTTAGTTGCTCCGCAGCATGTGGGATCTTCCTGGACCAGGGCTCGAACCCGTATCTCCTAGATGGGCAGGCGGATTCTTAACCACTGCGCCACCAGGGAAGCCCCACCTTGGTACAGTTTTATTTGTAGACTCCAGACACCCAGGCTGGGCCTGGCACAGCGTTCCTGCCAGTGGCAAAAAAACTGACAGCGCACGTCTGTTAATACTAACCGTTTTAATTTAAATTAATAGCATTTCTGGAAGACAAATGCAGTTGATAGAAAATATAAAAACTTTTACTGTACAAATTTTACATCACATTCAAAAAAGCAAGTATGTGCCTCGTGGCCACAGAAGATGCTGGGTTTGCACACACGGATGAAATCCTGGCTGACCAGGCAGCGTCGCACAAGCTCTCAAACCAGCTTCACATTTATGTCTCCACCTGGCACCCAGATCAACAAAGGCCACCACCACCAGGGGCTTACAGGGCATGCCACGCCCCTCGGCGATCACAGAAAGAAATGCCATGAGAGGGCAGAGGGATTCCAGGCCCTGCACACATCTTCAATTTGGTGACATGGAGCGGTCAGCTACACGCCACTCACAACTGGTGGGGAACTTGGGGTTCAGGACCTCGAGTTGCATGGAGACGCAGGGGTTGTGGCTCTCGTGTTTAAAGGCAGCAGGGACAGATCCCAGGGTTTTGGAGGTGAGGGTGGGAAGTGGCGGGTGGGGGAGCTGAAGGGTTGAAGCTTGGGCTCCACTCTCAGACCCCGTGGGGACCTCCACAGCCCCCGACCTTTTGCCCAGGAGGCCTCCCGGCTTTCTCCATCCCTTTCACAGTTGGCTGTGAGGGCTGAATTCACAGTATCTGCTGTCCTTCATGTGTTTCCAAGGCAGACAGGCATGGGGGGCAGCACACGGAAGGGCGGCATGTCTTCCTAACCTCAATTCACAGTCAATTAAGTAGAGACAGGGAGAGGGGGGCCACCCGGGGGGGTTCCGCAGGTGCTTCTCTTAACTGACAGGCAGTGCAGAGGCTCAGGCCGAGCGTGGGAAGGCATCCGGGGCCCTGGAGAGGAAGTGGGTGGCCCCAGTCCCACCCTCAGGGTTCCTGGCAGATCTTGAGTCCCCTAGGGCAGGCACTGTGACTGCTCCCATCCCTGGCCCCCTGCACTTGCACACAGTAGGTGCTCCATGAAAGCTTTCTAAACTGACCCAAGAGTGTGAGAGCCCCGAAGAAGAAAAACAAAACCCAGACTGACTTTCTGTGGGCCGTGAGGTGAGCGTGACTTGCTTAGCTGCTGTCCCAGCCCCTCGGCCCAACTGCACCGTCCAAGGGTTCAGAGGGGAAAGGTGAGAGGCATGAACTGTGACCTCCGGGAAGGCGCCAATGTCGGGGTGGGGGGAGGGGCCTGACAACCAGAGGCGGAGTCACATCCCACGTGGCTTTGGGTGGGGAAATCATAGGAGCGGCTGACCCAGAGGCCAGAGGAATGACGGGGAGACGCGAAGAGTCCCACAGAGGAGAAAAGACCCACAGAGCTGAGTCCAGTCGGTTTACAGCCCCTTCGTCTTCCTTCCCACACCCCGAGCGGGAAGGGTTGAGGTGCTGATGGCCGTGGAGGCCCGGGTACCCTGTACGGCTGCCTGGCCCAGAGGGGTGCCTGGCCCAGAGCCAAGAAGGCAGCCCCGCAGCCTCCAGGCAAAGCGGCCCATCTCGCATGATGTTTCGCCAGACTCCAGGGTGGGAGCCTGGCTCGACGGGTCTACGTAAATGGGGTAGGAGGGCCACGTGTCTCCCCGTCTCGGCGGCTCTAAGCGTGGACGCGGGTTCTGGGTCTGAAGACAACCTCCTCTCCACTTTCGTCGCCCTTGATCATTTCTGGCTTTGGAGCTTGATACGATGACGTAACCTTCACTGAAGGGCTTCTTTGCCATTTGGAACTTTTCTCTTTAGGTGTCAGCTTCTAACGAGGACAGGCAGGACACTGTCATATCCTGGACTTTCCCAACCCGGCCCCTCCTCTCGTCCAAAGGGACACAAGTAGGGGGCCTGACTTGGTGCTTGGGAAGACTCTGAAGGCTGGGGGCTTGCTAGCTGGGTCCGAGTGAAAGCGGGGAAGGGCACGTGGCTCCCACCGCGGCTAAGAGCTCTGAACACGGGCAGTGGAGGAGTCAGCAGTGGGCTAAGGGGTTTCAACAGGACTGAGGGCTGGAAGAGGTGGGCAGTTCCGGAACCTCGGCAAGACTGGTGATGGGCCAGGGCACCCTGTGGCTAGGAGGGTGGGCTCAGGGACCCTCTGCTTGCCACTTCTCCCTCCCCCTACTTTCCCTGTTCTCATGGATCAAGCCTTCATGACGTACGCAGCTGCTGGGCTAGGCCTTAGCTCTGGGGTCAAGTGTCAGTCAGGGACTGGGATGTTTCTAAACAGCCAAAGCCCTTAGTCCCATCTTCCTGGCGCCTCCCCTGCGGGCTTCATGGAAGAGACATCTTCCCAGGCACTGGAAACCCTGGCTGGGAACCACTGGATCAGTCCAGATGTTATTTGGATTTTATGTCTCTGCTTTTTCCAGCAGGTATGGACTGGATTACAAGGGTCAAAGGTGAACCCAAGCTCTCTGTGAACTCCCGACCCTCATAATCCAGCTCGGCTCCTGGTCAGGGTGTCCTCTGCAAGAGGAGGAAGGGACAGCAGCCCTTCGGTAGGACGAGGGGAGATGGGATTTAGGGCCAACGCAGAGGCCGGGTCAAACCTTGTGGTCCCCCCACCATCCTGCTTGGGGAACAGCCACAAACACGATGCTTTTCTTCCTCTGAACCAGTGTGGGTGCCTCACTCCTACAGGGTCCTCCAGAGGGGACGGCCACTTCTGCCCTCGGTGCCAGTGACCTCTGCACAGACGGTTTTTATTATCACCTATTGTACAACGAGTCCAACTCTGCAGAAACATACATGTAAACATTTGCTGTCTGTCGGGACAGGTCTGCTTGTTGGTGATGTCATTTTAAGAAACAGCAGGCGCGGCTCCATCTCCGGGACCCCAGTGTCTTTACGGACGAACAGTCTAAACCGAGGCCTCACGCTCCTGACCCGCAGCACTTAGGAGGATGGCTGGCGTTTTGAAGAGTGCTGCTTTTTTGTCGTGGCGGTTGTTTGGATGTTTTAGAAACCCATTTAAGAAAGAAATACAATGTCAGAAAAATGGCAGAGCTGGCTACATCTTTGGATTACTGGAGTCCAGGACGCCCAAGCCAAACCTTTCAAACCGGGATACAACTTTGCTGCTGTTAATACTGCAAAGAGGAACAAAAACAAGGGTTATAGCCCCGCTGGTCTTGATCAGAATTGGGGCAGCATTAGCTAATGAGTGGGCCAGCTCCAGAAGCTCAGCAGAGGACCCAGCCCCACCAAGAGGTGGGAATGATGATACAGGCCAACGGCCTTGGCAGAGCTGTTCCTGGTTCCACCTGGCCGGGGGCTGGGCCTCGGCTGCACTCCCTCCTGGAGGGCAGGGGCCTGTTCGTCTTGGAACCCCCAGCGCTCCGAGTGGAACTGGGAGGGAAGAGAAACCCAGCCGCCGGTCCTAAGAGCGGCATCGCGTGCTCCTTCCTAGAAACAGTCCCCAAATGCTGGGGTGCGTCAGGGCCACCCGGGACGCAGGCTGAGATGCGGGTTCTCAGCATCTGCCTCCAGACACCCGGATTCGGGTCTTGGGGAGGCCCAGGAATCTGCGTTTGGTAAGCAGGGGAGGACCTGTGGGTGACCTGTCAGCCACACTCTTGCCGAATGCTGGCTCGGGGTCTGGTACCTTCCGTCTGCACTGGGCAGACGGAAGGGGAGTAATGCCGCAGGGGGGAGAGGGCAGAAACGTTTTCACTAGTGAAACCGTTTGGAGACAGGTCCCACCCCCTTGCTTCAGGACAGCTTTCCCCGGTGTGTGGCCGAGGACACAGCTCTTCCGAGCTGGTGTCTTTCATGGCAACAGAACCCGTGGTGTCACAACCCTAGCCCTCCAGAGGGGACCACCCGGCAGCTCTGAAATCATTCCACTCCGTGTTGGACAAGATCCCCGCGGGTTAAAAGCCAAGCAAAACCCCGACCCCTGTCCTGCGGACACACCCCACGGGGGGCCGGTGTGCTGGGGGACCAGGGAGACGGGGGATCTCTCTCACTGAGCTGTTAGTAGGGAGACAGGGCCACCCCACAGAAGAAGCGCTAGAGAGAGATGAAGTTGTGTCCAGGAAGGCGGTTCTGGGGGTGCTGTTAGGGGGACCCTCCATGGAGAGCAGTTACTCAGGCACACGCAGGCCGCGGAGCGGGGCGAGGGCCAGTTTTAACAAACAAAGCAAGAGAAGAAGTCTCAGCAGAGAAGGCCGGAGTGGCGGCGATCGCATCCCCTGGGTTAGTGCCCGCATCGCTGTTTGAGCTCGAGTAGAAGTCACGGTGCCGAGCGTGGATTAGGAGGAAGAAAGCCCCGGTACATGCAAGGCAGCCAGGCCTACAACCTACAGAAGGAAAGAGAAGAGGGGAGAGCAGCGTCAGAACCCAAGCCCTCGGGGAGCGGGCAGGGGAGCGGCCGAGGCCTGGCCAGGGCACGGGGCAGGGACCCCTCTTTCCCTGCAGACAAAGAAAGGGACATCCCCACTCCATTCCAGGCTTTGGCAGCAGAGCAAGCTTGGAAGGGAGCCTGGCACAAAGAACCTCCCCCAAGCTCGCCCCTAGGACATGGCCACAGAATTCTGTACAGAGGTCGACCAGCAGGCCCACTGTCCCTCAGCCCCTGACCATCAAAATCGATGTCTCGGAGTTTTTACTATTTCTGCTCCCTGCATTCTCTTCTTTAGAGTCTGGCCAGAGGGGATCCTGGGGACTCAGACCAGTGATCTGAGTTCTCTCCCCACCACGGGTAAGCCATCGTCTGCCAGTGTGTGGACAGAGGCCCTGCCACATGCCATCGGTCTGCTCTCAGCCCAACGAGAGAAACACGAGCTTGCAGGGCCCCTGCCGGTGGCCATGTGAGCTGCCAGAGTGTCACTTTCGTTTATGGGAATACAACATGCCAAGAAGGGGAAGCTGGAAGCAGAGACAGAACAGGAGGCAGGATGTGCAAAGGGTTAACTGCAAACAGGCAGAGAATCAAGGAAACAGCAGAAGACACACTATTCCTCCAGGACTGGACAGTTGTTCTTAAAGTCCGGGTGACCGTAACGTCCTTTCCCGTAGTAGCGGCTCCGCCAGCGCCTGGGAGCACCCGCAACCATTTTACCAGGAGTGGGAGGAGCGTGGTCCGGCAGGTGATGGAGATGGGCACCCAGTGTGGACGGGTGGAGGAAGGGCCACAGGAATCAGGGTGGCGGGAGAGCGGGAGATGACAGGCCAGGACAGCGGATCCGCCACCGCCCCCCCCGAAAATAAAAAAAGAAAAGCAACAAGACGGATGGAAAAGAAAAGAGAAAGTGAGAATTAGAGGCTTGAGTGTGTAGAAGTAAAAATCATGAACAGGAAGCTTTGATACAGACTCACTGAGGTATGCTGGCATTCCTTCCTAGAAGGGGCTAAAACTGATCACTTTGGGCAGGAAACAACCCCCATTTGTGACTCAGTGTCCCACATGTGGAATGGGAAGGTGGGGCTCTGTGGCCTTTCGGGAATCCGGGATCACCTTCTCCTGAATACCCGTACCACTCCTCAGCCCCTACTCCACGCCCCGTCCCCAGCGCAGCCTTCGCTTTTGTGCAGGAGAAAACCAGGGCCCGGTGCGCTAAACGAGTTGCCCAAGGTCTGACAAACCAGATCCTTGTACTTCTTGAGAGTCCAGGAGACGCCCAGGCTCCCACCCAAAACCCAGCTCCCATGACCCCTCTCTTCTGGACACCCTTCCTCAAGCTCCCCGGTGGGCAGTGTGCCCACAGCAGCTGAGTTTCTGCCCGGCACTCAGCACATTGTCATCATCCCCATCACCCATCAAATATTCATTGAGCAATTACTACATCCTGGGAGTGTGCTTAGAGCTGAGAATACAGAGGTGATAAGGCAGCGTCCCGCTCCGAGGGCTTACAGTGTACGTCTGCTTGTCTTTATCCTAATTAAACTATCAACTCCGTGCGGGTGGAGGCCCGGCCCTGGCCTGTCGCCTCAGGTGTGGCACAGCTGTCAGCAACGGTTGGGTAAAACCCACACCTCTGATGGCAACACCTGTTACCCCCTATTTGTATTAGACTCTGGCCCATCTTAAGTGCAAAATACTGAATCTAATCTCACATTCTAAGGTACAGCATTCCCTCACCCCAAATCGTCATTCCTCAGACTGTCCCTCCAACTGGCCTAAGTTGCCAACTTTGCTGTATTTCTTCAAGTTCTCCTCCTTGCACCCTCTGCTGGGCTGACCCAGCCTGGGCCTTTCCTCACCTGCAGCTCGAAGCCTGGTTTGGTTTACTTTCAAAACGAGCTGGCAAACTAGGTGTAAGTCAAATCTGGCTACAAAAAAGTCATGACCATTTTACAGCGGTCAAAAAAAAATTAAAAACCAAAACCAAGAACGTGTGACAGAGACCATATGACCTGCAAGCCTAAAATACTTACTATCTGGCTCTTTCTAGAACAAGAGGAGTGCCACTGCCACCACACACTTGGGCAGGTGTGAGATCCGGGTGTAGCTGCTCCGGGGGCTACGCTGGGTGTAGGGGTTAGACAGGCTCTCGCCCCCTGCCACTGCCTGACTCCCACCAAGAGAAGCCCCACTTTGTCTGTTCTATGTCCTGGGCCTGTGGGAGATGACACTTCTAGAAAGTGCACTACCCCTTAAAGTTCAAAGCCATGCATCTTGTCCAGGAGGCCAGCCACGTGTGACCTGCCTCTTGTTTCTGTACAATCCACAAACTAAGAATGTTTTTTACCTTTCTAAATGATCGGGGGGTGGGGGGTGGGAATCAAAAGAAGACTATTTCATGACCTGTGAAAATTACATGAAATTCAAGTTTCAGCATCCGTAAGTAATGTTTTACTAGAACCAGCCAGCCCGCAAGTTTGTGGGTCTGTGGCTGCTCCTGAACCAAATAGCAGAGCTGGGTCATTGTGACAGAGACCGTACGTGGTGGTGTCGTCGCTTTGCACGCCGCTGGGCACCCTGCAAATCCCAGTGACAAGGAGCCGTCACTCGAGGTTCCCTCTCGGCCTGCCAAGCTAAGCTATTTCCCACGTGGCCCTTGACAATTTTGCCTACCCTCCCGCTCCTATAAAGCTGTGGAAGCTGGGGCTGGGAACAAGGAAGGACTTGCCCAGATTCCCACAGAGGCAGGGCAGAGGTCTGTTTTTGAATGTTCTGGAAGACAGAGCCAGAGGGACAAAGAAAAAAGGGAATGAGGCAGAAGACAGGGGTGGAGACCACCCCAGCACGGAGGGCTGCAAAGGACCATGTGATTACACAGAAAGGAGACGGGCTCCCAGTGTCAAAGCAGCACATAAACCCGGGTGGTGCGGTCCCCGTGACAGGTGGCTAATCTGGGGGCTAGAAAGCTCTGTGCCATTTTAAGCAACAGCTGCTCGGCTGGTTTCGGTAAAGCTCTGTCTGGCCCCCTCTCAGGCAGAACCTTCTTTTTTTTAACCTTTTAACCCAGAAATTTTATTTCTTTTTTTTTTAAATTAATTTTTATTGGAGTATAGTTGCTTTACAATGTTGTGTTAGTTTCTACTGTACAGCAAAGTGAATCAGCTGTTATGAACCCAGGCTAACGCTGGGCTGGATAGCAGGCAGAACCTTCTTGTCAGGACCCAGCCTGGGCCCAGCGTCAGGCACTGGGCTGATAACAGTGATGTGGAGGTTTCCACAGAGGAGAACGGGAGACGCTGGCCTATGAAAGAGTCTCCTAAATAAATGCGATGAGCGGAATCCCGACATCCCTTGGGCGAGGGGACTAGTCACCTCTGGCTAACCAGCTCTGGGGGTTCCCTAGATCAAAGTCTCGGGCAGACAGAGCAGAGAGCGCCCTCCAAGACGCCTGGCTGCAGGTTTGGCTCCGAGGGGTACTTACTCGGCAGACTTCCAGAAGTGCCCGGGGTGCGAGAGCCTCCGGTTCAGCTTGGGCAGCTTCTCCAGCATGTCCATCAGCAGGGGGAAGCTGGGCCTCTCCTGCAGGTCGAAGGCCCAGCAGGCGGACAGGATCTCCTGCAAAGCGAGCCGGCATTGGAGAACGTGAGAGCTGGCCGGGAGCGAGGGGGGCGCGGCCGGGGCACTCTGCCCAGGGTCCCTTCCGTGTTCCCGAGCGCCCCCTGCTGGTGGTCGCCTCACTCTCCTGCCGACACCGAGGTGACTGGCCCTGGCTGGAGTAGGGCCGTGAAATAACTGAATTTGAGAAGAGCCCTCACACTTCCAGTGAAAATGAAGGGCATGGGCCTCCCTCCCCTCCTTCCTTCCTCGACCTCCCTGGAATAACAGCTACAAAGACGAATGAAAGGTCATAGGAAAGAGATCAGAAATGGGGTCACGGACGTTCGGAATGGAAAGCGGAAGGCAGCGTGTTGACAGGTGAAACGCAAGATGCTCGGAAGGTGTGCAGGGCTGGTGGCAGGGACAAGAGGACTGAGTACAGGGCAGCAGTGAGAGTCGACAGAACAGCTGTCCTGACAGTCCCGAGTCGGGGCAAAGCCCTTCTCGCTTTGGCCTTCTGCTGCCTACTCTCCGGATCCACGTGTGCACACAGCACACCCCTCGGCCTTTCGATTCAGAAGAAGTCCCTGGGAGAAGACAGGCCGGCACGCACGGCCAGGCAGAAGGTGCTCGTGCAACAGGGCCGATGGTGACCCTGCCGGGAAACTCACAGCCTACTTAGCGCTTCACCTGGATGAGTGCCGGGTGGTCCCCCCAGACGTTTCCATTGCTATGCTGCCCAGGTACCTACTGGGGCTACTTATCAACATCCTGGCTGGCATCTGTCTGCTCCGGGCCTGACTCATGAGCGCGTGGTAAACCCTGAGAACACCGCCCCCCGGGCTCGTTCATGTATCACTGTGCCAGGCGGGGGAACTTAACAAACTGCAATGCAGAGACGCCATTAATGATATTCAGTCATGTGAGGGCAGCGACCGTATTATGATTTGGCATCTTGAAAACAGATTTGCTGTGGAAACCTTGATTTGTTCTCGAAAGGTCGGGAACAACATTGAGAAAAGATCTGACACGACAACAACCCCACTGTTTGTACTTTATGCAGTGAAATTTGTTATTATCTTCTTTCTAGTAAGTAACATACAGGCTTTATTATCTTATCTCATAGTTCAGTCAAAACCATTATCTTTATTTCCTTCCTGTCCTTTTCTTTTAAAGATAATTTTTCTTTTTAAAGGTTAGCAGTGGGGTGGTGAAGGACACAGACCTCCTAGCCGGCAGCAAAGAGGCCTGCCCGCCACCCATCCGCCTCTGGGTCCCACGTCTCAGGTGAGTGAAGGGCAGCCAGCCGCCTGCCCTCTACCCCACCTTCCTCTCCCAGTGCAGGGGCTTGGGGGGCTACTTACGGTGACTTCCTTCCCCAGGCTGACGGAGGCCAGGACTCGCTTCATTCCCTCTCCGCTTCCAATCTGCCAGATCAGGGCCTCCGCAGCTTGGTTCTTCAAGGGCCAGTCTCTGGCTTGCAGCTCATACCAAACGGTCCTGTGGAGACCAGCCACCCACCTGGCCTGAGCTCCCTGGCGGCACGGCTCGGCTCAGCTCAGCTCACACCCCGGAGGTGCCTGCTGCCCTGATGCCAAGAGCCCGGCTGGAGGACCCAGCATCCCCCTCCTACCTTCCTCACCCGCCAGGCTTCCGGGAACGCCTTGACTCCCTCCCGGGGCCCTGCGCTCCCACTGTGGCAGGAAGACTCAGACAGCACGGGCTCTGGACAGAGATCCCGGTACAACCGTTCAACCTCCGTGGGGTGGCTGCCCATGGCCAAGGTTGTCTGAGGAGCGACAAGAAGGCCCAGCCCTGGGCCTGGCACACGCAGGTGCTCAGGAAATGATGGTTAAAGGTCAGGCCAGGAAGAGACCACCCGCGAGGGAAGGATCCCCCGAGAGATTACGGGCTGAGGCCGTCACTCAGACCCTCCAAGTCCCCTTGCCCTTCTCGACTTATCTGGATGGGGCCTTCTCCGTTAGACCCACCCTGTCCAACCTGGGGGCCACGTGGGGCTACTGAGTACCTGAAATGTGGGGAGGGGAACTGAGGTGTAAAACACACACCAGCTTTTGAAAGCTTTGTGGGGTAGAATTTTAATTTCTTATTTTGATTACACGCTGAAATGATAATATTTTGGCTATATTGAGTTAAATATCTATTGAAACGGATTTCACCGGTTTCTTTTTTTTTTTTTTGGCCGTGCCACACTGCATGCAGAATCTTAGTTCCCCGACCAGGGATCTAACCACGCCCCCTGCAGTGGAAGCGCGGAGTCCTAACCACTGGACTGCCAGGGAATTCCCTCTTTTTCTTTTTTAATGTGGCGAAGAGAAAACTCTACACATCTGGCTCAAATTATGTTTCTATATTTCTATGTTCCTATCGGTCAGCACCCCAGCTCTTTGTGGGGCACAGCTGGCAGGACTCCCTGTTCTCCCAGAGGGACAGTCCTTGATGAGCTCTGGTGAGCGTCCTCATGGGGCAACAGGTGGGAATGACACCCAGAGTTAAGCATTCTATACAATCAGCTAATTTAGTCCTCATTTAACAGCTCTACCAGGGAGGTACTTTATTCTTCCCATTTTACAGGTGGGGAAACAGAAGGTCAAGGACGTGGTCACTGGCCCAAACAAGTGGCTGATCCCGACTCAAAGCACACCTCCCCCTGCCCCACCCCCGTGGCCAGTAGGACCCTCTCTTTGAGCCACACTTGGCCTCAGAGCCTCAGGCGGAGGGGTGCCAGGGGCCTCCTCACCCGAATGCATAGACGTCAGCCGCTTTGGAGAAGGGCAGCTGGTCCTCGTCCTTCCCGGGGGTCATCTCCCTCACGATCTCGGGGGCCAGGTAGCACAGCCAGTCATGTGACAGCTTCAGCTGGTTCTCACGCCTGGAGGCCAAGAGGTCAGGGCAAGGACATGGCCTTCAGTCAGCAGCAAAGAGGCCCGCAGGGCAAACACCCGCCCCAGGGCTGGTGCACCACCCACCATGGCCCAGAAAAGCAGCACACCCATCATGCACTTGCCAAGGCACCTGCGCTCTGGGGGAATGTTACCAAGGAGTGATAACCAGGCTTTTCTAGAAAGCAGGCCAAGAACAGGCATCGGCAGGGAGTTGCACTGGAGGGTGCCGATTCTCTACCCTGGGAGTGTGAAGGGCATCTCCAAGCAGGAGATCAGATCTGCCTGTGGGCCTTACAACGCGGCCTGGGTCTGGCTCTCCAGCCCGGCTGCCGCCCTCCCTCCTGGGGTCCAGACGATTGGGAAGGAGACTTTCTCCCCACCCCCACGCCCCCGTCAAGATTTGCGGAACTAGAACCTGACGTTCTTCCTCATAATGGGGACGTGAACCCTGGTCCCCTGCCCAAGTCGGTGAGCATACAGGGAACATGTGAGTGAGGGGACCCAACCACCACGGGGGCCAGCCTGAGAATGAAGCACTACGAGTGACCTAAGTGTCACCCAAACCTGATTCTGGACCAGAAACACAAGAGCAGGACCAGAGCAGACCTGGCCTTTCCTACAGGGAGGGCCGCCCCTCAGTGACAGACGGCGAGTGCCCAGACCTCGGCTGGACCTCAGGCCCACCAGCACCGCCCAGTTCCTCCCTAGTCTGTCCAGATGCCCAAGGCCAACTGACCGTCCCTCTCGGACCACGCCTGAGATCCCGAACAGCCCGAAGTCTGTGATGACCACTTTGCCGTTGTCGTAGAAGACGTTCTTGGATTTGAGATCTTTGTGCACGATGCCCTTGGCATGGAGATATCCCATTCCCTGGAAGACAGCGAGCCTCACGTCAGGAGCGGAGGGAAGGTGAATGACGAATGACTTAGCTCCTACTCTGGGCCGGGCCCTGAGCGGGACGGGACGCCCTACCCCACCCCCTCATTTAATCTTCACCGCCCTGTGCAGTGTAACTGTCTCCTTTTTACAGAGGAGGAAAGCCAGCCTCAGAGATGGGAAGTCACCTGCCCCAGGCCACACTGCAGCTCAGGGGCATTGCTGAGATCTGGCGCCAGGCCAGTGTGCGCTCCTGCTGTGTCAGCGCGCTGCCCAACACCCGCCTCCTACTCAGATGAGGCGTGGAAAGGGTGAGGGGTGAGGGGCTGGGGGTCAGGAAGTATATAAAGGTTCACTGTGATGCTACTCTCTCTGTCAAGTTATAAAAGACCCGAGTGATCTGGGGTCTCTCTCAGGCTTTGCTGGCCTCTCCCCTCAGGCTGGGCAAGGGCTAGGGTTGGGGAACAGAGAGGAATTCCCATAGAGGGAGCCCCTGAGCTCAGGTGGTCCTACTGCCTGTGCTGTGGTAGAAGTCCTGGACTAAAGCTGAAATCCAGCCCAGATTCTAACTCACTGTGGGGCCTTGGACTTGACTTCTAAGCCTCAGTTTCCTCAACCTGCCAAGTGACAGGTCAGGGCTGGGTGATTTCTAACCAACGCTCTATTTGGACTGAACGCTGCCAGGTGCATGGGATATGGGAGACCTGACGCAGGCATGATCTCATCCAAGGCCAAAGCCAGGATTCCCAGGTCCCCTGCTGCTCTGATGCTCTTGGGAACGGGGAGCGGGGAGGGAGAAGGGGGGTACTGTACGAGATGCATGACTGAAATGGGCATCCCTGCTGGGACAGAAAGAGGCACATGTAAACCCATCTCCCAATCTCCCACATCAAGGGTGCTTCATGTGTGAGAACTCCGCCTGACTTTAAAGGTATCTTGGGGTGAGACGGGGAGAGGTAAAACCAGCAAAAACCACATTTAGGAAATAGAAGAATGAGCTGTGAGGCGGAAGCAGACAGAACTCAGCCAAGCGCAGAGCTCAGACCGAGTGGGGCTGGAGCGTGTCAGAGAAGAATGTACACAAGGCAGATGCTCTTCTGCAAGAGATGGGAGGGCTCGGGGTGCACCGTGGCCACTTCCCTCAGGCCTGCTGAGAGCTGTCATCCTGCCACGGAAGCCGGGAGTTCCAGGAAAGAGTAACTTGCTCTTTCCCAGAACACCATCCTGAATGTAAAACGATCCTTCTTAAAATATCTGCCCATTTCCCAAACCAAACCAAGGCACAAGCCTTCCCCAGTGACCAAAGAGAGCCAAGACCCCCATCTTGGGTTGAACAGGGACCAGCTGTGTGACTGAGGATAAGTGCCTGTACCTCTCTGAGCCTTGTTTATACAATAGGTGTCACAGCCTCAAATGGCCAGAGAGTAGACAGAAAGTGCCCAGGTCTGGAACACAAACCCTCCTTCCTTCCCATAATTTCACAATGCCTCTAGAGTGGCCCCCAAGCCCTCTAACCAAAGGTCAAGCCCCCGTCATTATATTTTGAGCCTCAAAATATCAGAGATGAGTACAAAAGGAAGTGGCTTAGAAGTTCTCAGAAGAAGGGGGATGGGGAAAATAAATAAGCCAGCAGAGAGGAAGCTTCTGGCTCTGCAGCTCTAAAACCTTTGCACAACTTTTCTCTTCTGCCCTGGAATCTTCCAGATGGCTCACTGAACCTAACTCAGCAACCAGACTCCCACAGTGTCCTGACGATAAGGAGGGAGAACAGTTTGGGGGAGGAGGGCTGAGTCGGGCAGAGTGTGGAGCAGGGCCCAGCCGGTTTGGGGCCATCACAGAGTAGGTGTGACGCTCTGCAGCTCCCTCCAACTTCTCTGCAATGAGACAGACTACAAAGGAAGGCGTAAGTGTGATATTTGGGTTTTGGGGGCTGCAAAAGTTTAATGCATTAGTGTAGCCACATGGAAATGTCACGTGGAAATCTTGGTGTCCATAAATGTCACTGAGATTTTTATCTTTTCCTTTCCAACGACGCACACACACACACACACACACAATGGATGCAAGGAGGGAGGGAGAAAAAAGAACAGAAGGCAAGACTAACTAACGACAGGAAAGGGACAAAAACTTGGTGGGAGCTGGTAAGAGAAAGCTTTCCCACAAAAACGAGAACCTGGAAAGAGGAAGCCCTATCCAGCACTAATCTAGTTTTTCTCTGGGCCTGTCTGTCGCTAAATAAAGCAACAAATAAGCTTTACTTCCATTTTTGTTTAATTACTTTAAAAAGATGAAAGGAGGGGCTTCCCTGGTGGCACAGTGGTTGAGAGTCCACCTGCCAGTGCAGGGGACACAGGTTCGAGCCCTGGTCCGGGAAGATCCCACATGCCGCGGAGCAACTAAGCCTGTGCACCACAACTACTGAGCCTGCACTCCAGAGCCCGTGAGCCACAACTACTGAGCCTGCGTGCCACAACTACTGAAGCCCGCACTCCTAGAGCCCGTGCTCCGCAACAAGAGAAGCCACCGCAATGAGAAGCCCGTGCACTGCAACAAAGAGTAGCCCCCGCTCGCCGCAACTAGAGAAAGCCCGTGCGCAGCAATGAAGCCCCAATGTAGCCCAAAATTAATTACTTAATTATTTTTTAAAAAAGGCTGCCTGAGTTGAGCCTGAAGCCCTGTCCTCATGAAACTTGGATTTGGAAACTTTAAGGCAGAACCTCTGTCCCAAACCTTAATCAATTCTAACAGACTCTCACCAAGCGCTGGCCCTGGACCCAACGCTCTCTCCATGGATTATCCCAGTTTACCTTTGCACCAATCCAATGAGGGAGGCGACACTGGCATCTCCATTTCACAGGGGAGGAAGCCAAGGCTCAGAGAGGCTAATCGACCTGCCCGAAGTCACACAGCTGGTGTGACCAAGATTCAAACTCAAGCCATCTGTCTTTAAAACCCACTGAGTTTCTCCAGGGTGTCCAGCTCCCAGCAGACAAGACAGGGACAGAGGGAAGGAGATGGGGGTCCCACCCCTGAGGTGCCCCACCTAAAGGGAAAAACAGAGCAGCCACCACCACTACCCTGACATGGTCAGACAGACTGGGGGACAGCCAGGAACTCTGGAACCAGCTGGATGCCCCTTCACCTTAATGATCTCCTGGGCGATCTGCCTGGTCTTGTTGATGTCCACAGATGTCTTGGGGTCCCTCACAAACGAATGCAACGTCCGTCCCTTGCAGAAGCTGTGAGGAGTGGTGGGTCAGGCAGAGATCTGGGGCCTGTGCAGCCCAACCCAAGCCCCTCTGGAGCCGGGGAGAAGCAGGGGCAGAGCTGTGCCCACCGGCCTCGGGAGGGCTCTCTCTGTCCCCTAGACCCTGGGTGCCTGAATCCTCGTTCTTGACCAGCCTGATGCCCATTCCTGCTGGGGCCTGGCCTGAGTGGGCAAGAACACCGGTTCCCCGAGGCCTAGGGCCTGCGCACCATAGAACAGGAAACTCAGTTCACCAAGCCTCCTGGCAATTCAGAGCAGCCCACCTTTGTGGAAGTTCGAGGCAGGAACATGCCCAGGCAAACTCAGCAGCCAGGGAAGAATCTTTGGCCTTCTTGGGCTATAACCAGGCAGCATCAGGGCTCTGGGCTCACCATGATGATTTTCATGATCGTGTTATTTTCTGATCACAGGGATTTTATTACAATGCGGCGTGTGCAGGAGGGGAGGGGTGGCTGTCAGGCATGTCAGAGTGATTATTAGATAAGGGGCTTGTGTGTTGTGGTCCCCACCTGTACCGACTCCTAAAACCCGGAGCGAGGAAGGACCCAGACAGAATGCGTAGCTTCATTCCCCTGCTCCAGGGAGAAGCTGACTTAAGCCATCTGAGGAAGGGGCTAGTTTTTAGGAATCATCTCCAAGGAGATAAGATTCTTGGACCCTCAAGGTCTGGAATATCGGCTGATGGTTGCTTTTCTGTGTTCCAGTCCCCTCAGCAGATTCTAAAACACGTTAACTTTTTTGTTAATGTTCTTTTATTCTTTTGCTATATGTATTCCCTTTAAGGAAACTCAGATCTCTCATGGGACTGGGTGGATGAGAGAGAGATGGGAGGATGAATGATGGACGGCACTGAGGTTGGGATCCGGGGGATGCTGAGCTCGTGTAACCACATGCTCCCTGAAGCATCATGGTGTCATGCTTGGGCTGGAATTTTGTCCCCACCCCACCAGGTCCACGTGGTGACCTGATGATCTCACACTGCTTGGGAGTTCTAGTGGGTAGTTACCTCGGATATGCAAGCAAGATGGAAATCATGTTTTACTTAGTAAACAAATACGGTTTGTTTGAGGAGAAGGTGCTTTTTCAAAGCACAGGGTCCAGCTACAGAGAATGTCATCAGACTACTGAGGAGTATTCTTTTGGCTGATGGGATTAAAGCGGTTTTTAGTTTTTTTCTTGACACCACGTATATGCCAAAGATTCGTCACTAACCTCATATTGTTTTTCCTGATTTTACAAGTAAAGACCCAATAGCAACTTTTTCAATGCCATGGGCAAAAATGTTTCAGTTTCACACCCCTCTGGTGCTCAGGGGGGGTAACGGTCACTCATCCGCTGATGGTGGGAGGGGAAACTGGTGGACACTTTCTGGAGCAGAAACGGACAGCGTACATCAAAACGTGACATACGTGCACTCTGACCCAGCCCCGCACACGTACTGCCAGATGTTCACCAAGATACGGAAACAGAGATGCTCATGACGACAAAGTGTCCAGCAAAAGAGGGCTGGTTAAATAAATTAGGGGAGGACCAGCGATCGGGTTCCAGAGAGAGCCCAGAGCCCAGCTGTGGGACTCGACCCAATTCCACTCCACTTTCAGTGACACCGTATTGGTGACTTGAAATCAACTGCAGTGAGAGTGTTTGCATCACAGGAATTGACAGATGCCACGCATCAATGCTAGAGCTTCCCTCACCACCACCCAAGAGCTGGTTGGTAAACATTTACCAGCGCACCACTGGAGGTTCTGCTACGTGACGTGACGGGAACACTATACAGGTGTTCAGATTAGACCTCAGACCTGCACTCCAGCCAAGAAGGCAAAGTAACCAGTAGGCTCTTTGGTGTGTATTTTCACAAACACATAAATAGTTACAAACCAAATAGATAAACAGTTTAAAAACATGAGCGTATACAAATTTTTTTTATTTTAATGGAAGGCGTGATAAGGAACTGTTTATAGTATCCACCTTTGGGGAGAAGCACCCGGGTGGGGTGGGAAGAGACTGGTTTTCACTTTATACTTTTCTGGAACATTTGAATTTTCTCTATCCTTAGGTACTGTTTTACTGATTTATTTATTTAATGTCAATGGGGTTATATGATGGAGAAATTACACCTCATTTTTGGTTTTCTTCTCTGTACCTCTCTAAATGAAATCTTCCATGCCCTCCGGGGTGTCCACACAAATAACAGGGCCCCCAGGGAAAGGGGAAGAGGAGGCGGCCACCCCAGGGAGAGTGGGACCGGGTTACCTGGTGATGATGGCCAGGTGCGGCGGGTTCATGCAGGCCCCCATGAAGAGCACCACGTTCTCGTGCCGCGTCTGCCGGTAGTTCATCACCTCCTTTTTGAACAGCTTCAGGTGGTCCTGGTTGTGGCCGTCCATCTCCAGCAGGCGGATGGCCACCTCGCCGTGCCAGCGGCCGCGGTGCACCCGGCCCCAGCGGCCCTGCCCGATGGGCTCGCCCAGCTCCACCTGCTCGAAGGGGATGTCCCACTCCTGCAGGTACACGCTGGTCTGGCTGGCCTTGCGAGAGATGGGGCCTCGCCAGGGCCGGCGGGAGCTCGGCAGGTCATCCAACTCGTCCTCGTCGTCTTCGACCTCCGACCTGCTGGCCTCGGGCTCCTCAGCCTGGAAGGAGAGGAGGAGGGGATAGAGGGCGGCAGGGGACCTGGGGGCAGGCGGGGAGCAGAGGGGCCTGGGTTCAGGAAGCCTGGGCTCTAGTCGCAGCTCTGCGGAGCTTGCTGTGGACAGTAGGCAGGTCACTTCGCACCACACAGCCTCAATGTCCCAATCCACGGACTACGGCACTTGGCCCTTTTTCCCGCTAATGTTCCAAGACCCACCTATGTGTGACATCTAATCGCTGGGGAAGAGCATTAACATCCCCTGGCATGAAGAACTGGACCGCATTCGCCCTTTCTGGCTATGCTTTTGTTTAAACACACAGTTTCTGACTCTCCACTGTGTAAGAATAAATAAGTCTGCTATCTGCTCAAGGTCTTTAAGCCACTGCATTGCTCGGCTGACACTGGTTCAAGGGTCAAGGTAGCAATTCTTGGCCCCAGCTACAGTCAGAATCACCTGGGGATCTTTGATAAGTCCACACACCACACACCCGGCCCCACCCCGGACAGACCAAAGGAGAGTCTTCTGGGCTGGGGCCCAGGCCTTCTGGCTGGGGGTGAAAACCATGGGAATGAAGAGTTTACTTTAGCCTCAAAAAAACAGAAAAGCAGAAGGAAGCTTGCTTCGTGGCATCCCTCGTTGCTCTCCCTGCCATGTGCACTGCTCGAGTCTGCTGCGGCGGGTGGCGGTGGGCACCTGAGATGGCCCTCAACAGGGCCCGGTGCCCACATGCTCCCCAGACCCCTGCACGTGCTGAGCCGGGGAGAGAGGAGAGAGATGCACCGTCGACGGCTTGCGTTTCGCCATCACTCACCTCCACTTCGTGATCCTCGGACACATCTGCTTTTGGCGGGTTCTCAAGCCTAAGAGTAAAACAGCGTTTGTCCAAGAGACCCCGAAGCCGGGCCATTCTGCTCCCAGCTGGGCAGGGGACTCCCCATGTGAGGTCTGAGAAAGGGGCACCAGGCCTGGATCCCTACTTTGACCCACTTGGCCGTGGGAAAGGCAGTCAGGATGCTGTGGAAACACACAGGAGGCCGAGGACCAGACCCCGTTTCCCTTCTCTGGCCTTGGCCTTCTCCAGACTTAATCTGAGGGTGGTAGGGGCCGACGGGTGGGCAGTGACCATCAAGGCCCTTTCGAATCTGACAACCAGTATGGGGCTCTGAGCACATGCACAGGACTTGGAATTCTACTTGAGAACTGGCTCTGTTGCTCCCTAAGCTGTGTGACTGGATGCAATTTCTTAACCTCTCTGAGCTGGCTTCCTCATCTGTATGTTGAGGATGACACCTACTTTACACCTGGCTGAGAAATATACAAAAAAATACGAGACAAGTACTCAGCATGGCCTGACACAGAAAGGGCTCCATAAACAGGAGCCATATAATTAGGTTTCTCTAACGCTGAGGGCCCTTCGCCGGGCCTTCCTGGGTCACAGACTGCTCCTGCCTCACAGACTGCCCCACCCAATGCTGACTGCACCAACAGGAGGCAACTAAAACCCTATGGCTGAGTTCACTGGATCACAGGGTGAACTAGCCCAAGCGGTGTCCCATCTGGCTGCCCAGGTACATGGCAAGGTCTGGAATGGGAGGGTCAGAGATTTAAAGGTGGAGGTGGGAGGCGGTCAGAGATGTGCGTCCAGCTTTAACAAGTCCCCAAGGAGGAGAGAGCGCAGGGCTGCCTACCGGGAACTGTCCGCCTCGGCGAATGGGACTGCCTGAGGAAATGCCGAAATGTCTGGAGGAAACAGAAAACAAACATGAGGCGTGAGACCCCCTTCCACTCCCCCGGAAGAGACAGTGTTTGTAAAGCCAGCACCCGCAGGGCCGAGCGTGCTCCGCCAGCAGCCCCTCGCTGGGCTGCACACGTGCTCCGGGGCCACTTCCCCTGGGCTTTTCCTAAAACAGAACACGGACGCAGCCTCCACGGCCCTCGGTTTTGCCCACACAGCTCTGCCCTGGGAAGGGACTCCAGTGGGGGAGGAGGCTGAGACTTCTCAGTCACCACCATCGCCCCGTGGCCAAACCGCCCCAGACAAGCAAGTGGTGAAAGCGACAGGGCTGCTCTTTACCGGGTGTGTGGGCCAGACCCTCCTCCACGGCTCCGAGGCAGGGGCTGGTTTCAACACCCCTTGAGAGTGGGGAGACTCTCGGGCCAGCAGAGGCCAAAGGCCGGACTCGCAGGTGGCTCATTAGTGTCACGTGGTGCCTGGCACAGCCGCCGGGGACTGCTGGTGGGGACCAGGGGCCCCATCCCCTCAGCTTCAGGGTTTGGGTGGCTGGTGGGGCAGCCTCTGGTCAGAGAGCAATGCACGGTCCACACGCCGGGGGCCCCAGGATTGGGCAGCTGGCACTGACCCCTGAGCCTGGGGCCTTCCCAGCTTCAGCACTGAAAGCCCCACATCCAGGGGACACAGGACAGATGGTCACCGCAGTGTGGGGCCAACACGTTACAGGCCAAATGCCCCATGGCTGCTTCTGCCGCTGGCTTCTTTCTGTCCTCTCTGGTCCCTTCTAATCGCACACGGGAAGGCTGGCAGCCCCAGGCCTGGGTGGGCCCCTTGCTCCCCTTTTCAGCAAAAGAAGAGACTGGAGGTGGCAGTGGCTTGAGCTAATCAGGGCCTCTCCCTGTCCTCTAGGACAAATAGCGCCCCCATCAGCCAGCAAACCTCCCTCTGGGCTTTCTCCAAGGCTACCCCTGTAGCTTTCTCAACATCTCTATCATACTTGGAGAGTCTGATAGAGGTCGTGGGCCTTCTTATTAGGGAAATGCACACATGTACCCAACATCTGTGTACAATTTCTGGGGAATCCTAGACCCGGAAGCCTCTTCTAAGGCTCTTCCAGACACCACTACACTGTGTCTGCAGACTGTCAAGGGCGGCCTGGTGTTTCCACCCACCCAGCGCTGCTCATATGTTTCCACAGAAGATAAACACATGCACGGGGACGGGGGGACATGGGGAGGTGGGGGTCTGGGGAGAAACCGCACCCCAAGTTGTGGGGGAGGCAAAATGTCTCTGAAGCTTCATACTTTTCCTTAAACATTAAGAGTGCATTTTGCATTCTGCTCCAGATATGTCCACACTTGTTTTAATAGAACTATATTTCCCTTCTCTCCCCCCTGACATATCTTCAGAGCAAGATGGACCTTTCTGGAAGAAGAACCGCACGTTTTCCCCATGCTTTCAAGGGTGCTCCCCTGTACGTCACCCTAGAGCAGTAACCAGGGAGGCTCTTGGAGGGGAACCACGGAAAAAATGGGTGTGAAGCCACAGAGCAGCGCAGGGAGCCTGGCCCTGAGCCCAGCCAGCCTGCACAGCCTGCAAAACCACTGGGGTGGGCCTGTAAGAACTAACAGGGGCTCCCAGTCACTCCCCTCATGAGCTGGGCTGGGGAACAGAAAAGCCTGGAATAACCAAAATACCAGGACTTCAAGACAGACCTGTTTAATCCAGGAAAAAAAAAATTAGCTACAGTCTTTGTCTAAAACACACAGAACCTTCATATGGCCGAGTTCAGAATTAAAGTTGCAGATTACGTGTACTATTGCTTGTCACCTCCAGCTAGAGAAATAAGTACTAATTGTATAAACTCCTTAGGGGCAGGAATATGGTCAAATGCAAAGGCTGGCACACAGAAGGTGTACAAAACAATTTCTGTGGAAGGGAATCAACGAGAATGTCTTATTGAAAGTTTTCTCCTTTATAAACTTTCTGCACTGGAGGCATTTCCAACAACTGCCAGCAGATGGCGCTGTGTGACAAGGCTCTGGAAGGTGAGGCCCGCCGAGTAAGCGAAGGCTGCTGACCTTCCCAAACTGGCATCCCCTTCTTTAAGATCGGGTAGTAGTTTCCCCGCCATTATATAGAGGAAGATATCTTGTCAGATGCTCATAAGACATCAGCAAGAGATCCTCTCCCCTTATTCTGCAGACTGGGTTTCTGCCACCTCCTAGCTGTGTGATCCTGGACAAGTTGCTTGAAGTGTCTGTGCAAGACGAAGGACTGGATGGATGCCAAGGGTCCTCCCAGGAAGGCACTGCTCCTGTGAAGGGCCAGCCTCAAGGCTACTCCCTCTGCCCCCTTGTCCAGCCTCAACAGACAGTCAGTTCTCAAAATAGGTGGGTGTGAGACTCAGGTACCTCCAAGGCGCCCAGGGAGAGGGCTGGACAGAGGCGGGCCACGTCAAGGGGCAGTTGGTGGAACCATGCAAAGGACTCACCTGGGAAGATAAACTGCTGTCTATGATGCATATAGTAGGCAGCTTTAAACAGAAGAGCAGGTAAGTCACACACACAACAGCAAATGCAGCAGCAGGAGAGGGGACGGAGGCGCGGGCTCGGAAGGGAGGGGCTGGTTATAGGGCTGGGGCAGCCCTTCCCCACCTGCCCTGCCCCAGCTTCCACGGAGGAAGGAGGAAAAGAGCTGGGAGGAAGCGGTTATTAGCAGGAGCCCCCAGGAGTAAAGGCACTTGCACCGGAGGGCTGGGGTTTGGAGACCCAGTCCCAGGGAACACCCTGCTGCAGAGCCCTGGCCGATTCCATTCGCCTCCCAGGCCCCCTTCTCCTCTGTGAACTGCACATGAGCCCAGGAGGGCAAAATACAACGGGAGATTCTGAAAACATTGAACAGTGCTGTGTGCAGAAGGGAAAAATCCCCCGGCCCGCATTCACACCTGCAAGTGCTGAGGCTTCGGTCACTAGCAGTCACCATCCAAAACAATAACCTTGCTCCAGGGTTAGCCTCGGAGATACACAGAAATGCTCCCCACGATAGAGTGGGTGGACGGTAGGAGGAGGTCCCATCCCACCTTAACAGCCGGACCAGCCCAGCCCGTGACCAGAGAGCGAGCAGATCCTGGAGAGAGAGGGCTCTGTGCAGGGGACAATGTGAGGCCAGCCTGGGGACATCAGGGAAAGCTGAGAAGCTCTGGCAGACATCACACAAAGGACTTTTTCACTGGCTGTTGTTTTTCAAACAGGCCCTTCCTTTCAGAAAAACCCAAACTAGGACGTTCAGCAGAAGGCCCGGTTTCAGAGCATAACAATGACAGAGCAGGACACGAGGGGAGGGTGATCACGCGGGGCCGTCGCTGGGTCTCTGGGGAGGGAGAGGTGGGCTCGGGACGACACACTAATGTCGGGAGATGTCCAGCCACATGCGTGTTAAGGTGAAGGGGCAGGCAAAAAAGAAGAAGGATTCTTAAAAGTCTCACCATCCCCCAAAAGAAGTCCCTGGGACCCTGCGGAGATGGGCCCAGAGAGGCTGCCTGGCCTCCTGCCAGCTGCAAGCAGCCCCAGCCAGGGCTCCCCTGGCACAGGGAGAGCTGTGCCTCTGTCCTCCCCAGCCTGGAGCCCCAGGGGCCAGTGACAGGTGGGGCCTGGCCTGGCACTCCACGGGCTGAAGCTGGCAGTGGGCCTGGCTGGGTCCGGAGCAAACTAGAATATCCCAGCCACCCTCCTCCCCTGAGCTGCCACCTGAAACACACCGAGGGCCAAGACCAACTGCAAGGGGCCTCCTGGGAGGCCAGGGCCGGAGTTCAATCCCGGACGGGTGTGTGGGCTTTGCTCTGCTCCTGGGGGAGGTGGGACACCCCAGGCCTGGCCGAGCGGCGGGGTCCCTGTCCCTATAGAGCTGGGGCAGCCGGGACCATGGTCAGAGGTCAGCTCTGCTCTGGCACGCACTCCCCGGTGGACTCCGTGGCCTCATCCATACAAGGGGGATAGCCTAACTCCAGCCTCACACGGTCTCTTGTTTTATGGAAAAGGGAACCAAAGCACCCCTTTAAGCAGCTTGCCCAGACCACAGAGCAGGTAAGCCACAGAGCCCCGGATTCCCTCGCCCCAGCCTTCTGGGCCTGCCCCAGCCCCCCGTGCTGCCTGTCCTGCTTCCTGGGAGCTCAGAAGCCCCGAGTGAGCGAACAACGCCCAGGAGAAGCCACCCCATGCATGGGAGGGCAGCGTTGGGATCAGGTCAAGGACCCAGGCTTGGGGCTTCCCTGGTGGCTCAGTGGTTAAGAATCCGCCTGCCAGTGCAGGGGTCACGGGTTCGATCCCTGGTCCGGGAAGATCCCACATGCCGCGGAGCAACTAAGCCCGTGCGTCACAACTACTGAGCCTGCGCTCTAGAGCCCGCGAGCCACAACTACTGAACTGGCGCGCCTGGAGCCCGTGCTCTGCACCAAGAGAAGCCACCGCAATGAGAAGCCGGCGCACCGCAACAAAGAGTAGCCTCAACTAGAGAAAAGCCCGCGCGCAGCAACGAAGACCCAACGCAGCCAAACATAAATAGATTAAATAAATTAAAAAAAGAAAAAACCCAGGCTTTACATCAGACTTGGCTTTGATCCCACCTCTGCAGCTTATATGTTGTACAGCTCAGGGCAAGCCACTTGCTCCCTCTGAACCTGCATCCCCATCTGTAAAATGGGTGCAATCACAGCAAGTTTAAATACGGGGATGCTCTTGAGCTCGGCACAGAGCCTGGCTCCCAGCAAGTGCTCTTAGTGGTGGCAGTGTTTGACCTTGAGCCTGCCGGGGTGTGCAGAGAAGGGACATGCAACCCCACCCCTGAGGCCCGAGAAAGCCCCAAGGTGTGGTACCTGGGAAGTTGAACCTGCCGTCCCTCTGGCCGGGCGAGGGGTTGGGGGGCGTGGTGGCACTGGGTGGGTTGGACGACGTCGGGAAGGGCGCTGGCGAGGAGGGCGTGGAAGACGTGGTGGAGGATGGGTTGCTGCTGGAGTCCAGGTGGTTGATGGCCAGAGGATGCTCCTGCGGGACCAGAGACACAGGCAGTGGCAGGGACCGCCCAGCCCCGCCTGCCCCCCACCCCTCCCCGCCTAAAACGGAGGTCAGCCAGGGCGTCCTGGCGTTTTATGGGTCTAATATTTGAGGGGAGAACGGGACAGGGAGACGCGCACCTCAACGTCCATCCCCTGGAGGGCTCCTCTCATCTTTCTTATTTCAGCTCAAGCGTCCTTTCCTCCCCGAAGTCCTTCCCCAGTCCTGGCCGGGGCGTGCTCCTCCCCTTTATCCCCCCATGGTTCCCAGCACTCTCCATCAGGGCACTTGAACTACGGTTTGTCAGCTGCAGGCGTCTTGGGCGGTTTTCTGAAGACTCTCTCTCCACCACGCTGTGTGTGTCCCCCGAGAGCAAGGACCACACCTGCTCGTCATACACCCAGGGCCTGGCTCTGCTCTGGCTACAGAGTAGGCTCTTTTAACGAATTAAATTCAGCCTCTGACAAGCCTCTGTTTAGTGGGTGGTAACAGTGGGTGCCTAATAAGTGCTCCCTCCACTCAGCAGGGGGACCTGCCGGCTAGGACATTCAGTGGCGTGGGCCCTAGCAAGGCCAGAGGGCCACCTGAGGGAGGGTTACTGGGGGGACTGAGTCTACATCAAGGGGGGACCCTGGGCCTGCTCAGTGTTTCCCAGACCACACACCAATTCCTCAGGGGGTTGGGGAGGGATTCCTGGTCAAAAAAGTTGGGGCCAAGTTGGGTTAAATGCTACGCTCAACCGGTTTCTCCTCTACAGGCCCTCAAGGCTCTGGGATGCACGGTAGACTCTGGAATCCACCAAAGCCATGCAGTGGGCTTCGCTGTCCAGCGGCCACCCACACTGCCTATCGCCAAGCTAAAGGGGGGAGGGGCTGCAACCACTGGCCCTCACTCTGTCCGCTCACATGTCAAGGCCAGACCCTCCATCCCGGTCAGGCCAGGCCAGCCAGGGCAGGGGGCTAGCTCGAGGCAGGTTGAATCCCAGCCCCGGCTCAGCAGCTGTGTGACCTTGGATGAATCACCCCACCCTTCTGAGCCACACGGCGCACTGTCTACATACACACTGCCGCCTCACGGGGGTGGTTGTTCGCTCAGCATTCAGTACACACGTTCCCTCGCTGCCTGTTGTGTGCCAGCCGCCAAGGCAGGCGTCAGGGGCCCGACGGGAGCACAACCCCACGGGCCTGCCCCCCACAGCACCCATGCACCCTGGGCCTGCCTCTCATTCACGGGGGACCCCGTGCTCAATTTCCTCGTCTGTAAAGTGGAGGTGATACCAAATTCCCTGGCGGTCCGGTGGTTAGGGCTCTGCGCTTTCACCGTCGAGGGCGCAGGTTCAATCCCTGGTCGGGGAACTAAGATCCCGTAAGCCGTGTGGCGCGGCCGAAGAAAGAAAAATAATGGAGGTGATATCAGCACGTGACTTTCAGAACTACGGTGGGGATCAAATGAGGTATCAATGGAAAAAGTTCCCGACTCAGTGTAAGTACTCAGGAAATGGTGGCTCAAAATAGAGGAGGGGGGCTATGGGCACATAACTGAGATTTGGACACAAATGTGAAATCTACGAAATGGCTAAATATGGGATCCCTAAAGGCCTCCCTCTGGCCACACACCCTGGGTTGCAGTATCATGTTCCCCTGCTGGACCTCCACATTGGGGGTGCTTCACAGAAAGGAACCCTGGGTGAGGGTTCGCCTCACATTATACCTTTTTGGTCAGTGCTTTGGGGAGGGTTCCGAAATGGGGTTCAGCTGCTCTGTCCACCGGATTGTTGATGTCCGAGGGGACAGATTCTGTCCTCCGAAGCCTGGGTACTGTTTAAAAAGAGGGGCGTGGTAACCATCAGCAGGAAACAGGTTCAAGAAAGATGCACCCCAAATCCAGAAGGGGGAAGGGTAGAACACTCACGTGGAAGGAAGGATATTCTACAGGCGGGGGCTTCTTTTGTACACTTGTTATGACACTTCAACCTGGTAACGAAGGCAGAGTCAGTGCACGAAAAGCCACACGGGACCCCGGGACACACGCAGGGGCTCGGAAGCACTGCCTGGAAGTTTCGTGCAACACTCAACCATGACTGCCTCAACTCCCACAAATGTCTCAACAAACATTAGCTTAAGCGTGTAGAACATCTGATCTTAATAGTACTAGCAGCTACTACCTGTTGCGTACGACCATGTTCCTGCTATCACCTGCCCAGTCTTCACGTCAAAGCACGTTTGATTACACGCACTTTAACTTGCTGTGGGTCACACAGCGATTTCTCTTTTCTAAGCAAAAGGAGACCCTCTACCCGTGTTCAGAAAGCTTGAGACAAGTCTGAACTTAAAAGAGATGAATTAGAAGGAAAATGTTTCCATTACCAAAGGGTCCCAGGGAAGCAAGGGGCAGCCCCTCCTGCTACATTCCTACACAGGCTACGTGGTCTGAGGACCAGAATGGCAGAAGTGGAAAGAGCTGGATTCTTGGTTTGGTTCTGCCGGCTGAACCCCCCTCTTGGGGTTCTCGTTGATCAAATGGGCTGATGGCTGGGGCTCTACCAACTTCACTGCAATTGCAGGAGAGCCTGGGGCTCAGAGGTTATCCTGTGCTCTCCGCATGAAAGGTATTACTTGAAAGGGAGCTGGAGGTCCCCAATTTAAAGCCAAATGACCAGGAGCCACAAAAGACCTAGACTGGTGAGAAAGGTCTGGCTTCTCCTTTGCATTTTCCTGATGACTTTCCTAACCACAGTTTATCCAATTGACACACATGAGACCCATCACCTACAGTCTGGCAGGAGCCCAAATGCTTTAACTATACACACTAGCTCAGATTCTTGGAGCAATCCTGATGGACAGAGAGACCTGGAATCATCTTCCCAGATGTATACCTGACAAAAATGAGGCCCAGAAAGGGCAAGCACCTTGCCCCAGGTCACACAGCAACACAGGGGCGAAGTAGACTGGGAGCAGACTCCAGGTCCATCCTTTATAAGGTGAGGGCAGCCAGACAGCAGGGGACAGACTCTGCTTACCCTACATTGTTCACTATCCTTGCCTTTCTTTCCTACCAGAAACCACAACAGTAGGAAAAAAGGTTGAATTTGTATAGAATCTACATTCTCCCCTCACTCTCTTCTGGAAGTACCATGAGCCACTTCTCTGTTTCTACCATTCCCCGTCCCCATTTCCCCATTCCTCGTGTGCTAAAACGTAAGGCTAAACTTCAGAACTCCTTACAGTTTCCAGAACAGTCCTGCCATTCCTCTCTGCCTTTGTACAAGATGCTCTCTTGGCCTGGAATTCTCTTTCCTCCTTAGTCTACCTGGTAAACTTCTATTCATCCTTCAGAGCCCACCTCAAATATTCCCTTCTAAGACTGCTGTGCCTGATGCTCCCTTAATCTTCCTAGACAGGGCTGATCACTCCCTGGTGTGCCGAGATTATGAATAGGTTTAGGAACTCTCAAAGGAGTTCCTTTGAACTCCGACTTGACCTAAGGCCAAGAATCAGGTAGCAAGACTATTACTAAAAGTACGGAGTCTGCTCCCCTCTGCCACCCCTGCCACGCCCTGCCCATCACCTGCAATGCTTGCACTTCACTCCAAACATCATGCTCTTCTGGCACACGTGGCAGACCTGCGACAGCCAGGACTTGGTGGAGAACCTGTACGGGGCAGACACACAGAAATGCTCAGGGGGGCCAGGATGGAGAAGGGTCCACAAAGCCGCAGAGAGACCAGGAGACTTGGTTCCATCCCAGAGCCCCGGGCACCCTCTCGCATGCAGGGCAGGGACACCCAGAGGCCACTGCTTCCCCCAGGCATTCAGATGTCTTAGTCACAAAGTCTTCATTGCCAAAGTCCCAAAGCTGGTGTGGTCACCGACGCCAGCTCTCTGGCAGGCAATTTGGCAAAAGCAATCAAAATCGTAAGTGCGCACACAGAGCGATTCCAGTGCCAGGAATTCATCCAACAGATACTCCCACGGGTGTCAAACGACGTACTGAAAAGGTTACTCACTGTAGCATGTTTGTGGCAGAAAAGACGAGAAACAAGCTGTGTCGTTTAGGTGTACAGGTGACTGACTGCATAAAGTATGATCCATGCACACAACCAAGTACCACGCAGCCGGAAAGTAAAATAAGGAAGCTCTTTTTGCACAAATAGGCAATGGTCATTAAATTATGCTGTCAGTGAAAAAAGTAAGGTACAATGCAACACAACTCCACTTATATGAAGTTCAAGTACAGGAAAAACTAACCTATGATGACAGAAGTGAAAAGTACCTCTGGGTGGTAGCACTACGGACTGAGAGGAGCCAAAGAAAACTTTCTGGGATGTGGAGGCTCTGAATCTTCCTCTGGGTGGTATACGTGGGTGTATACATATGTAAGAATTTATTTGTGTACTTAGCTCTATATAAATTATGCCTCGATTTTAACAAGAAAAAAAGCAAAGGATAGAACAGTGTGTATAATATATGCAATATTTGTGTGAAAACAAAAAAGGAGGCGGAAGAATATACATATGTCTTTGCTTATATAAAAATATCTCCAGAAGGACACACAAGAAACAGCCAAGATCTGCCTATAGGGGGAACTGGGGCCTGGTGACAGCAGCAGCGGGACTTTTGTCATATATATACCCTTTCAGACCTCTTGAGGTTTGAATTATAAATGTATTTCAATCCAAACTAAATAAAGTTTTAAAAAAACCACAAAAGATATATTGGAAAGGAGGATGGGGATAGAGTGGGTGGTATCCTCCAGAGAAAAGGTCCAAGGTCCATTCATAGGGTGGGGAGGCCTGAGGGCAGAAAGAACTCACATTTTTGGAGGACTAGGTTTTTTAAAGCGTTGTATATCATAGTAACAACAGAACAAACAGCAACAGTGTTTGGGGAACAGTTTGTGATGCGTCCATGAACATTAGCTTACTCCTGGGAGCGACCACCCCTGGGAGTTAGGCAGGTCTGCAATTCTTAGTACACAAGCAAGGAAACCAGCTCAGAGAGGTTAGGTGACTTTCCCGAGGTCACACAGTCCCTGTGTGACATGGGACCCCAGGTCTCTGAACCAGAGCACAGCTCTATAAGAGACCCCTGGGCCAGAAAATGAGGGGAAAAGCGTGGGCATTGGGGCCCGACCACACTGGCTTTGAATCCTGCCAACTACTGGCTGTGGGATGGGTCAAAGCCTTTGCAAATGAGGCCAGCACTCTCCCCTCACAGGGATCTGGGGGGGATCGCTCGCGTGCTGTATAAATGTGCAGAGCATGGACTGTGGGTGTGAACGTCACTGCTTCTACTCAGCCAAGATGGGAGCTTGTGGGGCAAAAGGACAAAGACGCCCACCCCCTTGGAATGCTTTTTAAGGAGCCCCGATCTGGCCACCCTGGGATCACACTCTCCTTCTCTCTGGTCTTTAATCTCCTCTCATGTCAACATGGGGGGAAGGGGAGCAGCTCAGTGGTACGTGAGATGACCTGCACCAGAAAGTCCTGAAAGCAGGCTGAAATGAGAGTCGGGGCTCGGCCGGAGAAGAGGCAGGTGCCAGGGAGGTGGAAGGGGCGGGGTGAGTGTCATGACACAGTTTTCTCCCCTCACGATTGGACCAAAAACCTTCAGAGCTTCTTGTTGAGAGAGGCCCGGATCATGAATTTAGAAAAACCAAGAGGGTATGACCGTGATGTCCCATACCCACGCCCGGAACCCAGGCAGGCAGGGCAGCCTGGCCATGCCAGACAAGAGGGGTACTGCTGCCTGGGTGGAAGGGAGCGGCAGCCTGGGAAGCACTCGGGGTCCAGCTGGCAAATCCTCTGTGCGACCAGGTGCAGCCAAGGCAAAAATGAAACAAAACTGATCCTGGTGTCCCTTGGATAAGTCGGCCTCTCTCCGGCTAGAGGTAGAGGTTAAATACCCAGCGCTCCCCAGGACTGGACGCGTGAGCCTCACATGCACTTCACCCCATTTTATCCTCACGACAGGACTGAGAGCAAGTCCCAACGCAGAGGGGGAAACTGAGGCTGGGAGGGATTCCTGCCGACGGGCGATGGGGGGATCCCCACCGGAGAGGGAACAGGAGAGGTCCTGATCTCTCACGGCTGGGAAGATCACACTGGACACCGGGTGGGACAGAGGGAGGCTCTCAGACCTTCACTCAGACAGCTTCCCCTGGTGCCGGAGACTCTCCTCCCCGAGGCTCTGGGGTACAGGCATCCCGGCCCTGCCAAGGCTCTCAACAGAGGTGCCTGGGCACTAGCCACGGGGTTCAAGCAGCGTCTCGGTGGCCACGTGACCTCGGGCAAATGACTCAAGCCCCGCGAGCCGAGTCTGCACCGCTGGGTGAGGATCCGAGGCTGGCCTCCCGCACAGGCTGGAGTGCAGCTCACGCTCCGGGGGGAAATGAGTGGGCCCTGTTGTGTTCACAGCGTCCTTTAATGGGGTGGCCAGAGCACCACGCATCCCAAGGGACCATCCTGCTGGCCATCGGCGGGGGGCGGGGACAGCGGGGGGCGGAACAAGACGCGCCCGGAGCTGCTGTTGGCAGCACACGTCAGCCTCACGAGCGCTGAGGCCGAGGCCTCTGGACTGTCCACGTTATGGGTCCACATCAGCCACGCCAGCTGCGTGAGTGCCAGAGTCACCGGAAGTTGCTGGAATCCAGACTGGCAACCCGAGAACCTTAGGGATGGGGTCTGGAGTTTCAGCACGTTCCACGGGGCTCTGATGTGTGGCCAGTTATGTCCACGTAACTGATGTCATGCTGGACCCAGAGGACGCTCTCGGCCCCTCCTCCCTGGGCCTTTGACCTTGTTTCTCCTGGGACCTGTTTTTCCCCAGCAGACTGAGGAAGAGACCCAAGGAGGGGCAGGAAAGGGCCCAGCAAGTCCCAACGGCTGCTGGTGACAGGCAGGGGCTCCAGGTGGGTGCCGGGCCGTGTCCACAGAGGCATGGACAGACAAACCGGAGGCAAAGAGCCCTGAGAGACGGGGGTCAGGACAGCCCCTCCCCATGCACTGAAGAGCGACCCCCTGGCAGAGGCTCGGCTTGTATGGGTCCCAGCCCAGCTCTGTGTCCCCTCCCCGCCCCAGCCCAGCTGGGCCTACCTGTGTGTCACCGAGAGCCCGATGTCCCTTCGTACCATCTGTGGGGATCCGTGCAGGAGATCTGCGGGGAAAAGGGCCAGGTCAGGCAGGCTGAGGGGGCCCTGCTGGGGACGGCGTGTGCCTGTGACCTTCTGTCTCAGACATCACAGGCTAGGGCGGTTCGGAGGGACCGCCACATGGCAGAGGGACAGTTCCCTGAACCTGCATCTAATCAAGACAGAGACGGCCAGGCGAGACCAAAGGGGGCCAGTGTGGTCACCCTCACGCTTGGGCCCCCCCCCCCCCCGCAAACAAATGGTACCACTTAGCCTCCGCAGGCGGTTCAGAAATGGTCCCTGTGAGGTTTCTAGCATTGGCGGGAGGCAAAGCCAAGGTGAGGACAGCAGCTCCGCTCCCCCTCGTCTCTTGCACTTCCTTGTGGATGCACCCACAGGCCACCAATTCTGGCTGCTTCTTGGTAAGCGAGCAGAAGCTGCCTGACCCTTGGCAGAGGGCTTGAGGCTGGTCGGCCATGTGGCATACCTAGCTTTCCAGTCACAAGCACCTTGGGAATTTTGCTCTGAGAGCCACTAATGCCAGAGCCCGGCAGGTAGAGGGAAGACGAGGTGAAGCTTTACCTGTTCCCACGTAGTCCAGCCCCAGCCGGGCACTCAGTCTGAGCCTTTGGGGAAGTCTCAGGCCACGAGCTTTGCCTGCCTTCCTAGAGGGCACCCTGGCCTCTCTCTCCAATCCTGGCTTCCTCATAAGAACAGGCATCCCTGGTGTTCGTGGTATAATAGGTCAAGCAGTAGGGGAGCAGCTGAAAGCAATCTGTCCATCCACCAGCAGCCCACATGTCTAACCCCACCTCCCCTCCTCCACCAGGGCACCCCCCTCCCCCCACCCTCCCTTCTGCCCATACTCAACACTGCCTATCTCCTCCTAGAGCAGGGGTTCTTAACTGAGCCCATGGATGGGAACCCTCAGGGGCTCTGGGAACCCTCTGGACTGGTAAGCGGAATGATGTGTGCTTTCCCCTAGAAAGAGAGTCTACACTTTTATCCAATTATCAAATAGATCTGTGACCCAGAAAGGTCAGGAACACAGTGCTCCAGTGATCTGTGGCCATCTCATACCCTCTGAGTCAGCCTTCCACCCCATGCTGGCCTGGCACACAGCTGGTGCTCAGTAAGTGATGGTTCACTCAAGGCCAAGTACCACAGGAGAAGGGAGTGATGGAGGTACTGACTTTTCCTCCTACACCAAGGGGGGAGTCTGATCGGAACCAAAAGCCCTCTGCCACCCCCTGATAGTTGAACCCACAATCTCGCCAGCACGTCTGCCATGGAGCTGCCTCTTCCCAACTCCGTCCTGGGGGTGGGGGCCACCCTACCCCAGTCAGTAGCCAAAGCCATCAAAGCACATGGGTCTAAAAGGGGTTAGGTTGCCAGTCTAGGAGAAACAGACTATGGGAAAATGAGATTTTAACCATCTCTCTCTGAATGCAACCTACGATTGATTTGTAATGTCTGCCACAGGCCTGGGATAGATAGGAGGGAGGTGAGATGAGGCTGACCCTGATGGAGATGAAATACTGGTCCTGAAGGCCTCGTCCTGCCTTCCTGGAAAACTGGGGAAGCAGCCTCACTGCTATGGTCCCTGAATTACTATAGCAACTGGGAAGATGGCAGGGCCAGGCCGTCCTAGGGATGCAAGTGCTGGATTCTCCTCCAAGCCTCTGTGAAGGGCCCTGGGAGTTTCTGCCTGTGCCCTGGGGACAGGGAAGTGCCCTTCCCTCCTCTCTCACCCCGGTGGTCCTGCAGTCAGATCCATTCTGGCAAAGTCGCTGCCCCTCCGCATGTCTAAGAGCCCGCTGACAGCCTCATCACCCTGCTTAGCCGCCTCAGGACAGTACAAAAATAAGCTATTTTGCTCAGGCAAAAGCCAGACGTCTCTGCATTTCCACTGAGACCATCAAAAGCAGACCCCCAGAGGTCACTTCCCTCTACTTTGACTCTGGAGAGGGATGCCCCACAGCACAGCCGCGTGCAAGAACCAGCTCTCAACCCAGAGGTAGACAAGGGACTCAGAGGTTGCCTGGGCATCCTCATCCCCTCCCAAGGGGATATTCGCACCCTCCGATCTCTCAGGGCCTCATTCAGAGCCGACCACGTTCCTGCCTCCAGGGAAGTTCCTCTCCTGAACAGAGGGGTCCCAAGACGTCAGCTAGGCTCTACGTATGGCTACCGTCCACCTACACCGGACAGGCGGTGCCTCCCTCCCGGGAGCGAGGCGTCACCATGGCAGCCCAGCCGGTAAACACTCCCTGCCAGAGGTCACCTGGGGGGGCAGCAAGGTGCAAGTGGGGCCCCCCCCAGGGCTGTCCGTGGACTGTGACGTTCTCAAGGTCTCAGCTTCTCAGAGCGGCTGCTGGCTGGGCTGGGCCACCTCGTCATCTGAAGGTTCCCTGTCCTAGAGCTATTTTCCTGCCCAGCATCTCTGCTTCTGGACCATGGAAAGGCCAGCAGACTAAGAGAGGGTCGAAGAAATCCACCCTTGATGGGGACAGCGACACAAACAGGACTCCTGGGTGGCAGAGGGGATGAAAATGAATCACTCTTACCGAACCTGCAGGAGACAAAAAAGACAGAAAGTAGGATTATGTCACGGCACTGGCCTGGTGTTTCCCAGAACATCAGCCCTTGGGTGGGAGCAGGCAGGGTACTCGGATGAGGACTTTGAGCCCCTGGGGCATGGGGCCAGGCTGGCTGAGTGACCGGGGAACGTTTCCTCAATGAGAAGGGCCAGAGGTAGCTCCCCTGGCCCCCCACCAGTGGCCAATGGAGCTACACCCTGCACTTTAATACATTAGCTTTTCTAAGCCTCGCCAGCCAGCTGCATGGTAATTAGAGTTCACTCCATTTCACAGCTGAGGAAACAGGCTCACAGTCTCCCAAGGTCATGTGCCTGTAGGTGTGGGAGCCCTGCCCAGAGCCCTGGGAGGAGGGGTGCTCGGCCCAGGCAGGAGGGGGGCTCAGGCAGCCAGGGAGGAAGTGGCTGGGGCAGGAGGTGAGGAGGGCAGTTGTAAGAGCAGAGAGGCAGCCCCCAAGCAGGGCCAGGCCAGGACGTGCCCTGAGCGATGCCTCCCGGGGGTGCCGCTGTCCCAAGGACGAAGAGAGCTAGGAACCCAGGCCACTCAGTCCACCATCAGGGGTCATTGAGGGCGGCAGGGTGGCCTGAGCACCCATGTCAGTGCCAGTTTTGGTGGCTTTGTGGGGACCTGACTCAGAGGCTCAGGGCCCAAGGCCCAGCTCACCAACGGTGGGATCTGAGGAAGTGGTGTCATCTACCCGAGGCTCTGTTCTCCACCCAGAGCTGGGGATGAGGCCAGAGCCCTCCTAAAGCTCTTTTAAGGAAAACAAATGAGCAAAGAGATGCACTGGGTTCTGCCCACTGAGATGCCCTCTGATGGACCCGTGTCCATGTTTCCACATGGTCATTATCACTGTGCTTCCTGAGAGAAGATCCAGAGGGGGAGGAAGGCTCAGCCCTTTGGCGGGGTGGGGGGAGGAGGGAGGATCCAGGCCCCAGCAGGACAGCCTGATCGAGAGTGGCAGGTAGGTCACAGGTAGATTTCTCTCCTTGGGTGACACACACTCAAAACCATCAGAGATGTCCAGGGTTCATCCCATAAGGGACCCAAGATAGTCTGCACTGGGATGGGGGAACAAGCCCACGTGAGACCAAAAAAGACCATGTCAGGAGAGGGGCCAGGTCTCCAACCCTCAGAAGTACAAGAAGGTAAGAGGCACCCAAAGAAAACTCCCTCCTTCCCTTCTGCCCTGTCCACAAGGGTATATTGACAAGAGCGATTTTTGTAATAGCAAAAGGACCTAAATGTCCATCAAGAGGGGAGGAATTAGTTAAACTATACACTGGAAAGAGGTAAAAAAAAAAAAAAGTTAAAAAGATGAGGTAGTTTGAATAATTATAGATATATACAAAACTGATAACCTGGTTGGCTCCTGAAAGGAAAAGGAAAAATGGTAGGGGGTGACTTTATACTCTACAAAGCTCTACGCAAGCTACAAAGCTTTTGGATACTGGACTATGTGACTGTTACTACCTATAAAATAAACAGATTAAAATTTTTTTATAAATAAATAAGAGAGTAAGGTGTTTCAAGAGGTAATGACATGAAGTTCTCAGAAATAAAGGTAAGTTGAAAAAAATAGGGTATAGAACAGAGTACATAGTAATTGATAATCGTTAGTAGTTTCAGCATGATATTCTAATTCCCCCTTCTGCACACATGGGAGGATGACATTCCTTGGTTCCATTGTTTGGGTAGGGCCGTAAATGGTGAGTGGAACTTTCAGGAAAAAGCATTTAATTACTCGGTTGTAACATCTAAAGTTCTTTTTTCCTCTGCCACAGTGGGATGTTCTAGACAATGTTCCAGCCTGGAATCTGAAATGAGGCTGACCGTGACGGACAGGTAGCATGACCAAGAAATAAATCTTTGTTATTTTAAGACCCAAAGATCTGGGGGTATTTGTTATTGCAGCATAACCCAATCTAACCTGGCTGACACATGGTATCATTTCGCGCGCGTGTGTGTGTGTGTGTGTGTGTGTGTGTGTGTGTGTGTTCAGAAAGAAATCTAGTAGGATTTGGCCCAAACTGATAAGGTAGTCTGGGGAACGGACTGAGAGATGGCAGCATCTTTCACTTTTCACGTTGCAGCTTCTATGTTGGCTGATTTGGTCCGTTTTCAATCGAGCCTGTGTTACCTTTACAATGAGAAAACCATAGTCAGAACTTTCAGTAGACGGCAAACTCAGCACCTGCCTGGCAGGAACACTTACCTCATCGGGGAGACCTCGTCGATGCGGTTCCCCAGCTGAGACTCGTGGGACTTGCTCCGGGTGAGCGTGGGGAAGCTGGGCAGCAGCTGGAAGACCTTGCGGCTGGGCGGGGGCGGCGTTCTGGGCGGTTTCAGCTTGGTGTGCCGGCGGAGCTGGGGCGTGGTCGGCGGAGTGATGAAGCTGGGCAGCGCGCGGGGCGTCAGCCGGCCGCTGGTGTGCAGGGAGATACAGGGGTCCGCGAGGCCCTCGCCGGGGCCGGGGTTTGGGGAGTCCGAGGTGGGCAGAGCGGACACGGAGACGGAGCGTGGGCCCTGGGCACCGCTGCCCACTCTGCCCAGCTGGGAACTTCCTGGGGGCCAGGGCAGGCTGGCTGACGAGAGGCTGTCCGCGGGAGGCCCGGAACCACTTTCCCGTCGGGCATCGGACGAACTCCAGCCCGAGTCTTCTTTGTGGTCCCCGCCTGCGGGCCAAGAGGTCGAGTCACAGATGCTTGGGGCTGGAGGGATTCACAGGTGAGGTGGCCAGGGCCCAGGAGCACAGTTCCTTAGCGGAGGCTCCAACTGCCAGCCTTCACCTGTTTAAGGCCACTGGTGCACACACACTACCTGGCTGACTGCGGGGGCACCAGCGTAGAGATGTCACTGTCCCCAATTTACAGAGAGGAAATTGAGGACCAGAGAGGGAATGCGCAGGGCTCCTGCTGGCAGGTCTGTGGGGAGCGGGCGAGGAAACCCACCCCCAAAGTGGGAGACCTCAGAGAGGGAAGTGGTGACTGACCTCTAAGAGTTAGGGAAGGGAAGCTGGGCTGTGTGAAGGGATAACTCCCCTGCAAGAAAACTCAGTCATCGGGAAAAGAGGCTGCGCCGACCTTCCGACAGCAAATTGCCCTGGGAATTTACTAGAAAAGAGATCCAGCTAGAAAGAGATCAACAGCCACTTCCTTTTGAGAGGAGCCTCTGAGTGACTTTTGGCTGTCCTCGTGGTGACTCTCTGCCTGAGGCCCCTGAGGCCTTGAGGCTCCAGGGGGTTCCAACTCAATGACACGGCCTGTCCATTCATTCGAGTATATGCCGGGTGTCAAGGCATAAAAAAAAGACACATTCGTGGTGCCTGAGGAGTCCCATGAGAGTGACGGACACTTAACATGGCGTGCTGTGTGCTGACGCAGAGATGCATGGGGACTGAGAGGGTACAGAGGAGGAGGACCCTAAACAGCTTGGGGGTCAGGGGGCTTCCCAGCGGAGGTGGCAACAGGGCTGGGCCAGCTGGGGAAGAAGTGGAGAAGGTGTACCAGGCAGAGAGAACAGTGCATGCAAAGGCAGGGAGCACACAGCACTTTCGGGCAATGACTCCGCGTCCCACATGACTTGAGAGGTCAGGACAAACCAGGGAGAGGCAAGAGATGAAGTTGGAGGGTCAGCCCACCTGGGGCCAGCTCCGGAGGGGCCTTGGATGTCTTGCCAAGGGCTTGAGGTTTGACCTTACAGAAATGGGGAGACAGTGAAGGGGTAGGGGCAGGAAGAAAGGACCCCCGTCCACAGAGACTCTGTTGTGGGGAAGAAGACACCTCCCTCCTCGTATTTATCGATGACTGGAAAGTACAGGAGGGCAGATTTTGACTCAAGGCAAAATGAACTTTCACTCGGTAATCCTTCTACTTTGCGAGTTGTACCCTGTCTTCCTAAATCCGCCCAGCATGGTGAGGTTGCTGAGATTCAGAGAGGCTGTGTACACTGCCAAGGTCACACAACTAAGTAAGCAGTGGGATGGGAACCGAGCTCTCGATCTCAACCACAGCACTGGGCCTCCTCCCCCAAGGCTACCAATGCTGAACAACCTATAACGGCACAGCCTTCGGAGGTAATGAGCTCTCTGCCATCAGAGGTGGTCAAGCCTAGCCCACAGAGCCATCTATTAGAGACGGTGGAGAGGGATCATCCTTCACAGTTCTTAGGGTTTGTCCATTCCATCCCCTCCTCAAACGCCCTTCCTCCTACCTCACTGCATGGTGACTTTCTATTCACGGATCAACTTGGAGAATGAGTTATTCGTCTGTGTATTCCTTTATGCTTGCTCCTTTAGAACTGTGGCCAAGACCTACACTTTAATTTATAAACTGGCCTATAGGAGGCACTGAACACACTCTTGTTGAGGGGATGAAAGAATGAGTTCCACGGATCCACGGGCAAGTCTGCCACCAAAGGAAACAAGCCCTCAATTCTTCAAATTGTCTATTTAATCACCACTGCTTTGAGCCAGCTCATGGATGGCAAATGGCTCTTGTTGTGCGTGCCAACACCAGTCAACTGGCAGTGGCTGCTTGAGAATGACTCTGGAGTCACTAAGTAGGAAGAGCTCAGGGATTGATTAGTGATGTCTGCCATGGATGAAGGACAGGGAGTATCAGCAAGCATGATCTTCTCCTGTTCACCAGCCACTGGCATAAAGAAACATCCTTCATTATGTTTCTTAAGACCAGAGACATCCACATTTTCCAGGACCCCACAGGCCTAATATTGAAAAGAGCATCTAATATGCACCAGGCTCTAGACTAAGTACTTATCCTTAACTCATTTAATCCTCACAACAATTCTATGAGAGGAAGTGTTGTTGTGTCCATTTTACTCATAAGGAAGATGAGGCACAGTGAGGTTAAATAACGGGCCAGGGTCCCGTGGGTTCTAAGTGGCTCAGCAGAGTGCTAGGCCTAGGCAGTCTAATTCCACAGTCTATCTTTACTGTAGCCTGACTGCTCTCACCTGGCCCTGTCGGGTGCCATGAAGACTCTGACTGCATGACCTGAGAGACAGGGTGATCACAGTTACCCACCCAGCCCCCAGCAGGTACACTCGAAGTGCAGCCACTACTGGGCAGACCCATCTGCCTGCCCGTGTCCTGGACTGGGGTGCGGCGGGTCCCTCTTGGGGATGTAGGGGTATCACAAGCCGAGATGGAATGAGAAAGAAGCACCTGGAATAAACTCTCTGCCCAGGACCTCCTCGGGGACATAGTGGAAAAAGCACCCTCTGAGGAAGAAAACTGGGTGCAAAGCCCAGCTCTGCCACGTGTCAGGTGCAGGACCCAAGACAACTCATCCAGGGCCTCCAGTGCTCGGATGCTTTAGCTACAAAAGGAGCTCACCACCACCTCTTAAAAGGATGTTGCCGGGCTTCCCTGGTGGCGCAGTGGTTGGGAGTCCGCCTGCTGATGCAGGGGACACGGGTTCGTGCCCCGGTCCGGGAAGATCCCACATGCCGCGGAGTGGCTGGGCCCGTGAGCCATGGCCGCTGAGCCTGCGCTCCGCAACGGGAGAGGCCACAACAGTGAGAGGCCCGTGTACCGCAAAAAAAAAAAAAAAAAAAGGATGTTGCCACATGTGTGTCAAGTGCCTGGCACATAAGAAGTGCTTCGTAAATTAGTGATCTTCCTATCTTGGCACCCAGGATGGACAGACAGCAGCCTTAACACACGGGGGTCACCACCACCCAATGGCTGGCTCCTCTACAACTGTTTATAATGCAGGCATACAGCGGGAGGGCTGACAAGGTCCCCCAGATTCCCAGCTTGGGTGGCAAGTACTTTTTTTTTCTTTTTTTTTTCCGACTGTTGTCTGAAGGTGACTGACAGCAATGGCTAAATTAATCCATCAGAAATATCTTTTCTCTTGACATAAAGAAAAAAGACAGTGAAATGTGCACAGGTGGCAAAGGCTGAGGCTCAAATCACAGTTCTGCCACCCACTGCTGTGTGTCCTTGGTTACCCGCTCTGGGCTCAGTCTCCTTCTCTGTAAAACGTGGGGACAAGACTGCTAACCATGTCCCTGTCCTGTTTACTCCATGGCACTTGCCAGAGGCCCGATGTGTTGAGGTTTTCCGAACTGAGTGAAGCTCTGGGCTCTGTGTTCAGAAGAAGACTTGGTACAATGGGGCCAGGGAAGAAATTAAGCACAGTCCTCTCTGGGAAAAAAAAAATCAAGTAGAATATAAACCTCAGAGCCTTCCTTAAGCTTCAGGCAGCCAGAGATAAGACAAGTGGCTCAGCGAATTAAAAAATGGAGCAAATTCCATTCATTAGGCTCATTTTAAAGGCTTATCTGGGTGGTCATGGGAGCGTTAAGTCAGGGCATTTGAAGCTGTTTCCAGGGCAAGATTTAGAAAGCCTGCCAATAATTCCCGAGGAACATTATTCATAATGCCAGGATTATACACGTCGCCTGAGGCAGCCATGTCCACACTCACAGCTGAAACGAGGTGCAGTTTCTCTCCTCAGGCTTGGTTCAGGCTGAGCCCACACCAGCGTGGGCCCTTCTGAGCACACAGCCCAGCCGGCTGGCGATGGGGATGGAGAGGGGAGGGGGAGGGGAGGGAGAGGGCAGGGAGAGGGTAGGGAGGGGGCTGGACTGCAGGAAACTACAGAAGAGTCACAGAGCCCCACAGAGGTGCTCCACAGGGAGCAAATCACGCAGCCCTGCCCAGCAGACCAGCCCGGGGCTCCTAACAATGGCTCAAGCTTCATACTGGCCAGCCCAGTTGGGATCTGGGAGCCTTCTGTCTCAGGGAGAGCCCTCTGCCTCGGGTCAGGTCCATCACACGCTTTCTGAGGGTGGACCCTGGCCGTTCCAAGCTGGCCCAGAGACCCTGATCACACTGGCCCCACCCCGTCATCCATCCCAGCAAAAGCCCTGGCGCCCAGGGAACCAGGCCAAGCCTGGGAGAGAAGTCCAGTGTCCAGGCCAAGGGAGAGGGAGAGGGAAACGATGGGGCTGGTCCTACCTACCCAGGCCTGTCACCTTCCGCAGGCAGGCGAGGGCGTACTGCAGGCGGCCACACTCCTCGGCACTGGCCCCGCAGCGCCGCAGCGTCTCCTTCACCTTAGCCTCGTTCATGTCCAGCAGGGCATCCAGCGTGAGCTCGCAGAGGATCTCCTGAGGAGGCACAGGACAGGCGGAGAGCCGGCTGAGCAGTCACCCTCCTCCCAGCCGGGGCCAGCCTCCCGCTGAGTGGCAGGGGCCAGCTGCTGGCGGGCTGGCCTCTGACCCGGAGCCACCACTTGTCTGACGACACCAGCAGTCAACCCTGGCCCCCGCCCCCAGCGCTCTGAGACAGCAGCTGAAGCAGAGATGCCAAAACTTGGGGTTGGGGGCAAAGGAAGGAAAATACCAGAAAAGTTCTGATAAGAGCGTGTTCCCTTCTCGTCTCTTTTTATTTATCCTTCCACACAGGAGAATGATGAACCACCACGACTTTTTAGAATGACAAGTACTTCAGATAAAGATAGCCCTTTACAATTTTGCTGTCTCTGAATCAGACAAAATAGGTTTCAAATAAAACTGACTTATGGAGAGAAGGATTACAAAGAATTAACCCTCGCCAAGCACTGTGTAGGTCCTTACTACCCGGCTATATCTGATTCTCAGTCGCACCCTTCCAAGGTTTCAAGGTAGCGGACATAAGTGAGATGCCCGAAGGATGGAAAGACTGGTGCAGACTCTGAGGATGGAGGGGCCACACAGAAGGAACGAGGTGGCCTCGAGGAGACAGAGTGGTCCCTGGCGGACCAGCAAGAAGGGAACCTCAGGCCCGAGGCCACAAGGAAGTGGATTCTGCCAAAGACCTGAACGCACTTGGATGTGAGTTCTTCCCAAAGCTTCCAGGTAAGAGGCCAGCCTGGCTGACACCCCGACTTTGGCCGGGCAGGTTGCTAAGCAGGGAAGCTGGACGAGCCTGTGGGGACCTCTCCATCCAGTCTTCTTCCTGCAGGACTGTGAGCTAACATATGAGGGATGGTTTAAACAGCGAAGTTCGTGGTAATTTGTTACACAGCAAAGAAAATGAGTACAGAGAGCGAATATCTGAGTCAAGGCCTAACTCCAAAGCTTATGCTCTTTCCTCTCATCAAGGAGTGGGGAAACCCCTCCGGCTCTGACTACTTTGAGCCACATGTGATACGGAGCCTGGAGCTCAGAACAATGGGACACGTCCCTGGCCTCAAGTGGCTTGTGGAGTGACTGACGTGAAAATAAGTTATTGCAATGCAATAAGGTATGGCCCAGCAGAGGGGAAGCTCAAAGAGCTATGGGACCAGTGGTGAGCTTGGGGGGCTGCGGGGGGTGCGGGTGTTGTCCCCTTTCTGGAGTTTCCAGATTTTCTATAACAGGGAAGGCCAAACATCCCACAACAAATGATTCATATAAGCTTGCAGTTTTTGATCTAAGCTGATTTGCGTTGATTTTATTAGCAAGCTGTGCCTAATTTTACGAGAGCAATGTTATGGTCAGTCAGTCCATGGTGCTATAAATCTTAAACTCAAGTGTCAAAACTGAACCTGAGGAAGATACCGGCTATGAGTCATTAGGGCAATGGTTTGGGGGCTCTGTGATGCCTGGGGGGTGGGGCCACATCTGAGGCCTGGCATGTGGCCCCTGGTGTCTGGCCGTGTCCCCTCTCCCCACCTTTGTGTCCTGTATGTATATTCTTCAGTCTCCAGGGTTGTGGGAAAGAATCTCATGGCTGTTTAGAATGACTCACACCAAAAATTAGAAATAAACAGATACCCCAAAGCACCAAGAAGCGCATCATTGGTTTGGACAAACCCCTGGTCGTCAGAAGTCCTTCCAGATGATAAAATGAGAACGGGAAACCGTGGATAAGAACAGCACACAGAGCAGGCTGATTAGATAATGGTCCCAGGGCAGAAGCTTTTGTTCAATCAATGTGTCTTCCTCTATTGTCTTCAATAACACTCTTCACTGAAATGCAATTTTGACATCTTTTGCCCTCATTTCACTATGAAAAGCTATTTGGCAATATTGTCAGGGGAGAGCAAATGGAAGTGATGTTGACCTGCACAAAACAACCCTCCACCTTTCCCTAGGGTGCCCTCAGTGCTCACCCGCACGTGCGCGTATCCCCAAGGCTGTGATGGCTCAGCAGTTCTACGGAAAGTGGAGATGCCAGTGTCTGCTTGATTTGGGGATGGAGGTGGATTGATGACGACAAAGACAAGCCTAGGAACCCAATCCCCAATCTAACTACAATGCAAATTCAGATGTTTTTTTTCTTTTATTCCTTTCCTCCCTGCCCACACCAAGTTTCAGTTTCTCAAGCATAATAACTACATTTATTATTACAAACTATTTGCTAGTGCTTTACAATACGTTCAGGGCTTTGTATACTGTCTCCACTCAAAACAGTGCAGCAAGGAGATGCTGTTAAGCCCATTTTATTGAGGCTCAGTGACCTCACGCGGTGCAACTTAATAAATGGCGAGGCCACAACTGAAACCCCAGTGTGCTGGGTCCCAAAGCTCCTTCAACTATTCCCCACTGTCACTCGTGAACTCGGGCAAAGCCTTGGGACGCAGCAGCTATCTTGGGGAAAATGATTTTTTTCAAAGTAAAGGAGTTAATTTCTACCTGCTTTCTGGAAAAATATATATATATACATATACATATACTGTAAATTGGAAGTCCTTTGTCTTTAGCAAGCAAAGAGAGAAAATATGTTCAAATCCATTCCCTTTTTAAGAAAAGGGGAAAAAAAGGTATTTCCTTAACAGCTTCGAATGAGCTGGAAAGTTTCTCTCACTCCCCTGAGACTTCAGGGCTCAGTCCACCCCATGGGGATAAGGCAGCAGGGGCTGCTTTCCCTTCCCTCCTGTGTACTCCACCAAACCTCACACGTGGATGCGATTCTCCCCCTCACAGCCACAGGCACAGCCAAGTCGCAGTTAGGAAGTTATTTCAGACCAGAGTAATTCAGGTACAATTGTTCTGGATGATCTGTAAACCGAAAGCAAGTTAGGGGGACTTCCCTGGTAGTCCAGTGGTAAAGAATCCACCTTCCAATGTAGGGTACGCGGGTTCGATCCCTGGTCAGGAACTAAGATCCCACATGCCTCGGGGCAACTAAGCCCACGCGCCACAACTACTAAGCCCGAGCACCTCAACGAGAGAGCCCAGGTGCCGCAAACTACAGAGCCCATGCGCCCTGGAGCCCACGGGCCACAACTAGAGAAGAGAAAACCTGCATGCCACTAGAGAGAAGCCCATGCACCCCAATGAGTGCTGCAATAAAGATCCCACATGCCGCAAGGAAGATCCGACGCAGCCAAATAAATAGATTTTTTTTTTTTTGAAAAGAAAGCAAATTAGGGAATGAGCCTCACTGCCTGCTGACGGTGAACTCACGGGCCTGTTGACAACCCAGCAGGCAAAGGCGCCCTGAAATGCTCTCAGGTCTGAGAGGCCCCGAGGCTGTGGAGGGCCTCCGCCTGCCTGGAGTCACACGAAGATGCCAAGTTGTCTCAAAGCCAGGCATCCAGACCCTGGCATTCTGGAGAAGGGACCAAGGCTGAGTGTCCACACTGCTTCAAGGAGAATTACTGCCCACCCCACCACAGCTTCTGTCTAAAGAAGAAAATGTGAACTGGAAACCAGGAAGGGAAGACATGGCTGCCCAGCCTGCTACGGGAGGTGCTCTGGGTCCACTGAGCCTCGGGTCAGCATGTGAGCGCAGGGGTGGGCAGAGGGGCCACAGGACAGGGCACACTGGCTCCCCGCCTCTGCCCGTTCCCTCGAGCCACGACTTATGTCTCCGGCAGGTGACGTTTTGTTACTCTTTCTGATAATAATTAGAGGGCAGGACCAGTGGAGCGTGGAGATGACTCCAATCTGCGATCACGAAACGGCTGCTTCTTTTCTCTGCAGTAGAAGGTGGGGACGGGCTGGGCCAGACACGCTGCGCCCTCCCCACCCACCCCAGCTGCTGACGGCAACTGGTGTCCCAGGCCAGGCTGCGTATCAGACGGTGTCCCAGGACTACCAGCAGCCACGGGGCTGCCTGGAGTCTATACTTAGCAACCTGTACTGGCTGACACTGAAGGCCGTCCCCCTAGCCGTGGCCGGTCAGGCGGGCCGTGGAAATGCCACGGGCTTCACAGCCTGTGTGTGGACCGCGTGCCGCAAGAACCTGTGGCAGCTCAGGACGGAACTCGGGTGAAGGCCTGGGCTGAAGGAAGACAGAGACGCAAGCCCATACTTGGTGTCTCCGTCTAGCATCCTGTCTAGTCCTAGAGCACAGCATGGATCAGTCACGGCAGTAACTGTCTCAATCAGTGCGGCAGGCGCGCAAGGTCCATAGGCCGAACCTGGATTTCTGGCGCGTGAGCAGAGGTGTCCACCAGCTTCCCTGGCTGGGGCTTAATTCAAGGGCCAGGATCCCTCCCCACAGATGCTTGCCTGGGAACTGGTCCCACCAGAGAGACCAGAGGTGGACCCCCAGAACCGTGTGGATGGTGACGTGGGACCCTGGCACCCCTCTGTGGCCAGGGCTCAGTGGGAGGGCTGGGACAGAAGAGGCAGAGGAGCTAGGGGTTCCTATGGCAGCCCAGGCCGGGAGCCCCCATGCCTCCAGCTGGCAAGGGAGAACCTGACGGAGGTTCCTTCCTGCCTTCTCACCACCGCTGGCGCTGAAGGAGAGGGGGTGAAACTTGGATAATAATAGTTGGATATTCTGGGAGGCACAGGAGGGGCTAAGGCAGTAGGGGCCTGGGTCAGGCGCCTCCCGGGGTTTCCATGGAGATCAGCGGACAGCTTGGGGATACTGGCTTTGTCTGTGGACCAGTCTTGGACCTAGTCACTATCCCAGCCCTAGAAAATGAGAAAAAGCCCCTCCTGGGAGAAGTCAGCCCCTTCCGGGAGGGCTTCTCTCTACCACCTCCCAGCTAGCTGACAAGTACAGCAAAAGAAGGATCAGACTTGGTCCTTGGAACCCTCTTGACCTTGGGCCAGTTCCTGCCCCTTCACTGGGCTTCAGTTTCATCATTTATAAAATGAGTGGGTTTGGCTAGATCAGATCAGTGGCTCTTGACCCTGGTGGCACCCTGGAATTACCTGGGAGGCTTTAAAAAATGATCCTGGGGCTT